TATATATAAATATGGTAAAATTTGATATATATTTTTCACTTTTCTTTCTTTCTTTCATTTGGTGATTCATTCATTCTGTGGACTCTTTCCACGACACCGGTGCTTCTTCAGCCAATGGTTAGAAAAGGGTGATGCAGCAAGTCCTCACAACTCGGACGGTCTTCTGGACGAATTCGCAGGCAAAGTGAGAGGAAATTCTCCAGAGCAACAAAAAGAAGCATGCGCTGGCGGCAAGCCTCCCAGCTGCTCCTGTCAACAGCAAGAAAATGTGCGGCGCCCACATCGGTATCCACTTCACTTGTGGTATGCTCCACGCGGCGTCGCTTACGCCATTCTCCACCCACTACCTCCGCGGCAGCAGCATCATCATCGTCATCATGAGAAGGAGGAGGGTGAGTGCATGTTTCCATCGTGCTATCCGATTGACTTGCAAGCCACCGCCGCGCCTCCCCCGCCGCGTACACGATGCTCGGCGGCAGCGGTAGTTCCTCGCGCGAGGAGCCGATGCGGAAGAGTACGCGCAGCTTGTCCCTCGCCACGTGGCGCCATGGAGCAGCGCCGGTCGCGAGCTCCATCACGACACAGCCCAGCGACCAAACGTCACCGGCGGTGCCGATGCGCTCGCACTCGAAGCGGATCATCTCGGGGGCCATGTAGAGCGCCGTGCCGCGCAGCTCTGTGATGGGTTCGTCCTCCATGAGGACCGGGTACGTAGGCGCCGCGGCGTCGCACCTCTCCCCCAGCGCGGCGCAGTTGCACGTTGTCATCTCGCCCTTCTGCCTCAGCGCCTCACAGGAGCAGCGCGGCACCGCACACGCCTTGAGACGCATGCAGCAGCCAAAGTCAGCGAGCCGTGCGTCACCATCCTGTGTTACAAGAATGTTCGCCGTTTTGACGTCTAAATGCGCGTACCCGTGCGTGTGAAGGAAGTGGAGAGCCTCAACGGTCTGCCAGGTGAAGTGTTGCACCTCCTCCATGGCAAGAAATGGCATTTCAGGAAATGCGCCACTCTTTTGCAGATGGTCTGCGGCACTCAGAAAGCAACTGGGGGCGCAGAAAGGTTGTTTTTCTGCATCCGAGTCACCTTCGCGTGTGCTCGATGGCTGGTTCTTGTGTTTGTCCTGATGTTTGTTTTGTGAAACGCCACCACAGACAGGCATCTGTGTGGAGTTTCGCTCCACACATGTCCCCATGCCAGGGAGCGCCACTGATGGCGGCCGCGAAGATGGAGCTACTGGTACTGCGATACCGTGGCTCGTCATGTAGTCGAGCAGCGATCCGTTTGAGCAATACTCCAAATACATAAGCACCGAATGACCGTGCTTCTCTGCACCGTGGAAGCCAACAATCCACGGCATGCGGTGATGCGTCGCCACGGTTAGCACCTCCAGCTCTAACTCCAATTGTTTCAGCCGATATGGCAATTTAGGATCTTTGGAATCGTATACAAGCTGCTTAGCTGCGAGAAACTCACCGGTTTCCGTGTTGAGACACTCGTAGACTTTTCCACACCATCCGCCACCTAAGAAAGCACCGATGCGAAGCTCGCCTCGCTTCCCAGCAACACCTTGCAGACGCGGTCCTGTAACCGACTCTAACGATGGCAGCGGTGCCGCGAGCTCCTTGCTACTGCCCCGCGCGCCGCCGTGCCATGACGTGGTGAGCGGACGGCTTAAACTCTGCACGCCGTCCTGCAGGCTGAGGGAGGACGGAGTCTGCCAACATGACCCCGATGCGTCCGTCACGACGGCGCTGCCCGGTGTGGTGACTGTAGACCGTGGTGAAAATACTAATGGTGGCAGTGGGTGTGTATCAATGGTTCGCGAAGAGCCATGGGCATCGTGGTACGTCAGGGATAGTGAATATGAGGCCACACCGTCGCCGCGATGATGCACAAAGACGTCGTCCACGCGGCGATCATGCTGGTGGTTTGGTGTGGACGCTGTCTCTTTATGAATCCCCTCCGCGGCTGGCGTTCGGCACGGCTGCAGTGGCGTGTCACACAAGTTTAACGGCGCTGTGGTCTTACCTCCTACTTGAGGTGCGTCGGCAGAGCCACACCGCCTACCGTCACGTGGAGGGGCAGGCGCATCTGGTTCTGTACTCTGCTTCTGCGTGGGGTTCACCGAAACAAAATGCTCCATCGAGTCGCGCAGCTGCTGCTCGAGCCGCGTTTCAAGAATACGCAGCTGTGCCTCAAGCTGAGCCGGTCGGCTGAGTGTCGCCTGCCGATCCTCACCACGTACCTCACTAGGTGTCGCGACGAGCTCCGGTGCCGCGTGTGAGTCGCTCCAGTTGGACGCCACATCGTTATTGTCCGCAGACTCCACGGCGCCATGGTCATGAGACGCCAACAATGTATCATGGTCCGCAGCGCCGTCGGTGTCGTGGGGTATGGGGATAAGTGACGGCGACAGCCGTGGCCCAGGCCAGCCTTCCTCACATTCCGCTTCGTCCTCTGTTGTTCCAGCGCACGGTGTATGGCTCACAGCCACCGCGCCTACAAGATGTGAGAGCGTCTGCTGCAGTCTACCACCCGTTACATTTACAGAGTCACCAAAATGTCGTCTCCAGTCGTACCTACGTGTTCGTGACACGGAAGCACCGGGAGGAACGAGGCAGCAGTGGGAGGAGCATCCTTTTGCAACTGCCAGTGAGTCCCTATTTCGCCCAGGTGGTATCACAGAGGACGCCTCGGATATCGAGACCCCTTCAGAGATTTCGCACGCGTCGCCAGCTCGAGCAGATGGCATCGATGCCACTGGAGACATAGGGTTCCAGTCGAACCCACTGAGGTGGGAATCACCTGCAAAAACACTCTGCGGTGAGCGGATCGTGTCGCGTGGATCCAGTACTGATACACCTTGACGCGATGCACAGCTCGAGAGTAGAGCCGTTGGTGTATTGGCGCCGCTACTTCGGCTGCTGTTGTTACTTCTGCTGCTGCTACTTCTGCTTCCACTTCCACTAGTACTGCTGCTGCTGCTGCTTCTACTACTGCTGAAATACCCGTTCCAACTCCGATGGAGGCAGTAACTGCTAGCAACCCCCGAAGTGAAACTCACCGCTGCTCGCGTTGGTGCGGCTGGGTAACAGAATTCATAAACAGCGGCATTCTCGGAGCAAGGATGCGACAGAGGGGGGAGAGGATCCATATGATTACGATACTTCTGACGGTGGGGGCCGTGGTCCGGCAATTGGAGGAAGTTGTGGTGCTCCCCATCGGTCAACAACTTCAGATCGCCCTCTTCAATAATGAGCTGCTGGTGCTGCTGCGCGTCGTCGTCCTCCTTGCTAGTGGCCCACGGCGTCTTTGTGGACGTGCAGACGCCAGACGTCACCCCCAGTCGAGAGGCATCACCGTGGTGGACGCACATGCTGCTGCTCTTGTGTCCGAACAGACTCGGCGCGCCCTTCCAGCGCGGCGAGCCTGTCGAAATGTACGCGCCAAAGGCGGTGAGTGCGATGGAGGCGCCGAGGGCGATGGGCACAACCGGGTAGTCGGTCGCGAAGCGCAAACTAATGGCACACATGTGCTGCGCATATGAGCAGGGATTGCCTACGGCAGAAGGCGGGCTCTGACTCATTCTGTCTGGCAGCCGAGGAGACAACTTTAGCCCTCAATTACCCGTTCCGCGTAGGTGTCTCCCTCGCGTAATACCTCCTCTTTCTTCTCTTATCGTCTCCTGATACACAAAAGTAAGTAAGTGTGTATTATTTTTCTTGTCTTACGTTTCCGTTTTTTTTTTTTGTCTTTGCTTTAATTCCTCCTACCCGAACACACACAGAGGCACACGTGTTGTGTGGGTTTTTTTTTTTTGCTTCCTGTTCGCACCTGTGTGAGTGTGGCGGATCTGCAGCGGCGGCAGCGCCTGCTCCCCCTCCTTTTTTTTCTCTCCCTGCCCTTTCTCTCTCTCTCTCTCTCTTCTCTCTCTTCTCTCTCTCCTTCTCTATCGCTTTATTCGCTCTCAGGTAGTTCTCTTTCCGTCTATTGCAACTGCTATCCTGCCCTGTTCCAATTTTTTTGTTTGTTTGTTCCCTCCTTTCGTTCTCCGCCTCTTCTTCTCCCTCCCGCGCTGTCTGCCCCACCGCCTATACAGCCAGGTATAGATAGATATGTGTAGGGAGCCCCTTTTTTGGTGGTGTTCCCTGCAGACTCTTCTACGTTCCTATTGCTTGCTCCAGCGCGTCTCCCCGTGTGGTGCCCGCCGCCGCCCCCCCTCCGCTACTCGCTATATATATATATATATATATATATATGCGTGTAGTTGTTTTTTTTTTGAATATTATTTCTCTCTCCGCCACGCCAGACGCAGCTGCTACGCGCTCGGAATACAACACAAACAAAGCAACACGAGCCCACGATCTCCAGGCAGGGAAAACAGCAACAACAAGAACAACAAAAATTGAGGCACGAACAGGAACGCACAGAAACGAAAAAAAAAAAACAAGAAACGAAACTCAAGACGAAACAAAAAGAGACAAAAAACGTGTACGTGGTAAGTGTAGTAAGTGTTTTTCGCTGTAATTAAAGGAAGAATATGTGGATGGGAGGGGAGAGAGGGGGACAGAGAAGGTGTGTATGTGTGTGCCTCTACCAGATCCCTACTTCACACACCCAAACGCTTCGCGCACGAGGAGTCACAAGAAGAAATGGTGACAAGCAAGACAGGGGGGGATGGGGAAAGGTGATCGCGCCTTCCCGTCCTCTGTGCACGCCGCAATGTATAGTATTGTGTATGTGCCTTTCTGTGTCTTGGGTGTGTGGCTATATATATATAACTCTCCGTGCGGAGCACAAGGCCTGCGCTCCACACCACCCTCCAGTGGTATTTCCAAAAGGTACTGGCGGCGGAAGCAGCAGCACAAGATTATGATGATGATGAAGAAGGAGAAGAAAAGGAGCGCAAAGGTGCATGTGTATGGGTGCGTGCCACAACCGCAGGGAAGGCGCAACAGCAACAACAACAATAACAGGCAAGGCGGAAGCCGCAACGGGCGCAGGGCCCAGTGCGGGTGTGTGTATTTGAGTAAAGGAAAAATTAAATAAATAAACGAGTCAAAGTAGAATGGCGAATGGTCCCACCGTCACCGCATCGCAACAGGGACGACGCGTGCAGGTCTCTTCAACGACGCACATCCATCTCTCATCCCATCGTTGTCTGCGCCTATTCGTCGTCGTCGGCAGCACCGCCGCCAGCGGCCGCCTTCTTCGCCGCCTTCGCCTTGACGCGCTTCACGCGGCCCATGCGGCCGTTGCCGAAGGGCGAGGCGTCCGCGAAGGCGATGTGGTGCTCAGAGCTCACGCGCACAATGAAGGACGGGATCGTCACGATCTGCTTCGCCACCGCGATGTGGCGCTGCTGGATGAGCGTGCGTGAGTGGTGCACAGACTTGGCGAGGCCGTGCTTGAAGACCACCGTCTGCAGGCGGCGCTCGAGGATATCGGGCACGGTGAGGGAGAGCACGTAATCGAGCTTGTCCTTGTCCTCCTCGAGGAAGCCGTACTCGTGGCAGCGGCGCATGATGGCGGAACCCTCAAGCTGGCGGCGCGGATGGTTCTCGGGCAGCGTCAGCAGCAGACGGGCGGTGCGGCGCATCTTGGACAGCGTCATGTTGACGCGCCAGATCTCACGCTTGCAGCGCAGGCCGTACTGTCCGCAGAGACGCATCTCGCGGTCGAGGCGCTCCTTCTCGAACGGGCGGCGGGGAGCCTTCCACACGCGGTTGAAGTTGTTGTAGTTGCGCATAACTCACCCCTTTCCTTTTGGTAAGTGAGTTGTTGAGAGAGAGAGAGAGAGAGAGATACAATACACAGCGGTGAGAATGAAGGAAAACGAAAATGAGAATGCGCACTGCAATCTGGTCAAATGTATGCGTACCACAAGACGTGAAGTCCAGGCACTGACTTCTCCATTTACTCGCACAGCACCAATCGATGGCTTGCAATCTGCGATTCATTCCTCAACAACAACAAAAAAAAAACACACAAAAATAGTAATACAAGGTGCGTGGGAAAAGATCGCCAAGACGAGGACAGCAAAACCAAAAAAGAATCATCATACATAACACTATAATTGAGCAGCCACTCCTCACGCATTTTCGTTTTTCGTGTTCTGTTCCGATGCTTTTTGCCGACTTCTTCGTGTCTTTTTTCCCCCCATTTCATGTTCGGATTGCTGCTGCCCTCGCCTGGTGCCTCGCCCAGTTCCTATTGAGAGTGGCGACGCAAAAGATTCAACAGCGTGAGGCAGTCTGGCTGCTGCCGATGCTGTGTGCAGAGTTTTATGGAAGCCTCGCGTATCTCCTCCGGCAAATCCCAGCCTTGTTGCGCAAGTGAGAAGGTCATGAGGAGCGCAAAGAGACCAATCGTCGCCGATGGTTTGTTCTCCAATTCAGGAAGCGAGCACGCCACCCATGTGTGCAGCTGTGTTTCACGCAGCGCACCGTAGTTGATCATCTCACGAATAAACTGCACAATGGCAGCACTGAATTTGGGTACTCGAACTGCGCGTTCAATGATGTCGTTCGCCAAGGACGCGCCATCCATCCCTGTTTCCTGTGTGGCGTCAGCGCCTTCAACACCAGCACCAGTGATTGCTGGGCTCTCCTCCGTTTTCTCTACCCGCATTTTCTTCGCTTCATCTTCCACTTGCTGCTGTTGTTGTGACGACTCCCGCAGCCAGTGCACCAGCCGCGCCACAAAGGAGCCATTCTTCTCCAGCATGGAGGAAAAAAAACCATCATTGGAGAGGTAGCGGCACACGGACTCCCTCACCGCGCTGCGGAGGTCATGCCATGGTGAACGTGACAGCATCTCCTCCGCGTCTCGCAGCTGTGTCAGCGTCAGCTTTGCCGTAGCTGAGCGGCGGAGCAGAAGGCAAATCTTGGATGTTTCTGAGTCAAAAAGAAGGTGATGATCCAGTAGTGAGTCATAAAAAAGCGCAGCCTCACCGGGCTGCACCTCCATCCTAGGAAGCTCAACGTGTGCAAAATGCAGCTGAAGTGCCGTCGTACTTGCTGCGTCATGTGGCCGGTGGAGGAGTTGCAGTGGCAGCCCACCGACCCAACGATGCTCCTCCGCAACTTCAGCCTGCAGCTCATCCACGAGCTCCTGCAACCCGCTATTCGCTGCGGACGCCACGCTTAAAAGAGAATCAAGCATAGTATCATACCACTTTGCAACATCGTCTGCCGTCGGCCGAACACGCTGCTCGAACATCCTGTGCAGCTCCTCTGAACCAATGAGTTCGTCAAAGTAAATCTGTGCCGAGTTTCGGACTTCGGTGTGATGCCCAGTCACCACATAGGCCCTATTGGCACTCACAAGACAGCAAATCAGCAACATCTTGACCTCGTAAAAGAGCGCTATCACAGCATTAGCGGCGACTACCTCAGAAGCTGTACCTTGCGTTTTCTGCCTAGAAACCTTCAGCTTTAACACTTCGGCGTCGTGCAGAACCTCGTTGACATTTTTAAGGAGTAAGAAGGCTACATGAGAACGCAGCTTGTGAAGCTGAAGGACACTCGCAGTCACCGTTGAGCCTGTATACCCCAGGTGTGTGGGGAAACTGTCCAATGACATATTTGTGTCACTAGTGTTGACGACCTGCGGTGATGGAGACCGCCCGGCGTGTGGCGTTAAGCCACCTGACGGGGGCGATAAAAAGCAGTCAGGGAAGAGTAGCACCGGGAGGGAAAGCGGCTCGAAGCAGCCGGACTCCGAAACAACGGTGTAACCCGGCAATTGGTCGCCCGCCGCGTGGCGAAGAACCGGTGCAAAGAAGCCTTCTGTAATGAGCACCACAAGTGTGGTGAGATCACTAGAGGACGGCATCAACACGGATTCTGCGTACCTATTGTCTTCATCCATAACGATAGCAACAACACCACCCGCAATGGCGCTCTTAATAATCTCACCAGGTGACCGGCTCGTGTTCTCGGCGTGTGTGAGGACCTGCAGAAGTGCCCTATTATCAGCTAAGCTATTCGTTGGCATGGTGAGTCTATAGGCGATATTATGACTTGATGAATGGCTGATGAAGCCTACCACCTCTTAGTGCCTCTGTTGGTGCTGCTGTCGATACTATCTTTTTGCCCCCCCCCGGGCTGATATCGCTCTTTTTTTTTTCTTTCAGTACTTATATTGAAAGTAGAAAGAGATACAGGGAAAGAAGGGGAGAAGGAGGTTGACATGACGAGGTGAGATGAAAGAGCTCGCACCACAAACCAAAGCTCCTCTCCAGGGCTCACTCTCCCTTCCTGGATTTTTGTTTCATCGCCCTGCCCCACACTCTTCTAGACCGCTAAAGGTGCGGTTGGAGCCATAAGCAACCGAGACAACTTCTCAAATGTTTTGGCGATGCACTGCCAATCCTTCTCCGTCAGCTCATCGATGTTTTGGCCAGGCGGGGGCAACGACTCCTGGCCAAACAGTTCGGCCTCCTCGTCCATGCTTTGCTGCAGGATGGAGCACTCTTTTCCATAGTACGGCATGAGCGGAAGCGCGTGGCGGAGGTGAAGAACGTCCCGTACCCGCCGCCAGCGCAGCAGCAGCAACTCGGCGAGCGTCACACCACAGCGTTCACAGTCCGCCTGCAAAGCCTGCCGGTACTCCGGTAATCGTCGGCACGGCTCAGCGTAGATGGGGCCAGGCGTCACCCACTCTTCTCGCTGGGCTTCGCTACAGCTGCTAGTGCTACCGTCATCTGTTGCTACAGCAACCACAACTTGCAGGGAGTGCTGTGCGCCGAACCGAATTGCGTAGTCACAGACAGTGCCAGCGGCCTCCTCCGGTGATGCACCACGGTCGAGTTCCCGCCGAACCACCTTGGCCAGCTCATCCACCGATGTGTCCTCTTGTAAGCGTGTTTCAAAGACGGCGTGATTACAGAGGACAAGCACATCACCCGCGAGCATCTCCCATGAGCTGCACGTTGGAAGCGCAATGATCTTCTGCTCGCTCGGTGCCCGCCTCGAGTCGCATTTCATTGACCAGTGGCCAAAGCTTCGAGAGATGTTATAGAACGGATTGCCGTCAATGATGTTGCCCACATCGGATCGCACTTCTCCTCCAGCTTTCAGAATTCGGCGGAGCTCTTGTGTGCGCAGCGGCTTGTGATCTGCGCTGAGGGGCACGATGCGCTCCCGCAACGGGTCGAGGGTGCTGCGCTCTCCCTGCGAGAGTGGATGACGTTGAATGCCAAAGGCGCGCGAGTCGCCGACGTTGCTCACCAACACATCGAGGCAGAAACGAGGTGAGGGGGCACTGCTCTCGGTCGCACTTTCAGCAATTTGCTTCGCCGTTGCTCTCTTTACGTCGGTTCTTGTTTCCACCCACCGTTCGGGTGGGGGTGCGGCGCCTCTGTGGCTCAATTCACCACTCCCGCAGCGCCGCTGCTCCTGCAGTCCAAACGGTGCCACAGCAGCTGTGAACCACACAGCACGGCAGCCACTGTTTGCCACCATGTTTTCTCGCAGTCCGTCATCCCTCTTTCGTTCACCAGCTGGGAACATATCTTTGCGGCACGCATCAAAAAATGCACTATCAGCAAACATCGCGTACTGCTGCATTTCCCACTCCGAGAAAATACGGCGGACCACACGCTGGTCTGCATTTGTGCCGTGCAGTGCGCGCTCACGAGACAATGCTGACATCATTAAGGCAATAATAGGGTCGTCCTTCAACTCACGGCGGAGCTCCGCAATGGCTCCCGGAAGCACAGAGTGAATGCCGAGTGCCCACGCCAGATACTGCGCAACAGAGCGCGAACAGTGGTGTCCTGTAAAGCTGTCGCACATACCGCCTGCAACAGCATCCGCCATAAAAGGCACCGCGACAGGCAATGTCGCCTCATCGACATTGGAGTTATCACCGCTCCTGCTCTTGGTGTTGGCGGCAGGTGTAGGGTAGGCCCCCCTGTTATGTGTGTTATGGACAGCAAAGGAGCTCATATTATCCCGTGTTGCGCAGTTCATCACCTCACAAAACCCAACGCTAATGAATGGCAGCGACAGTCGAAGCATCTTTTTATGCTGCAGCGGGAACGCCTGGAACATGATGTTTAGAGTGCGCTATTCCTCTCCTGTTCTGCCGCGTATTTCCGAGGCCGCAGCTTCCACGCCTGCTAAAAAGAAAAGAGCGGAGAGAGCACACAGTAATCAATCACCATCAATTTCTCCCGAAGATGGAGGAGGAGACAGCGGATTTTTTTTTGTTAAAAGAAGAGAAATAAAGGCAGTCTACTACACCTATGATTTAGTCAACAAGCACCTTTCTTCGATCCTTTCAGACTCTTCAAAAAAACCATTATAACGCTCCACGCACATGTAGAAGCCTCTCCAGAGACGGGGAACAGCACCTCCTTTCGTCGAGAGAAGAGTGACGTACATCAGCAACCGCCTTTGGCGGAAGAGCAACATAAAGTAAAAGTAACACAAAGAGCAAATGAGCCAAAAAAAAAGGGAAAAGAAACGGAAGTACCACAAGGAAGCTCACTTATTTCTCCAGAATATCAGACAAGTTCAGGAAAAAAGGACTTTTTCCTATCACCTGCCACATCCCATATCTTCTTTTCAACTGCAACAGAGAGTGCCACCTCGTAGTCCACCGCGGTGGACCGATACGGCCGACCATCAGCAGTAACAGATGGGATCCTTAACGGTGGCAGTCGCACAGGTGGCAAACTACGCATGAACGCGCGGTGCTCTTCATCGTGCCGCTCAGCACGATTGGCGATGTTACGCTCCAAGTATTGTACTTCCTTGTACCGTATAGCTTCTAACGATGAGAATCTCGTTAGGTGAAAGTGGGCGCTCCTACGGATAGACCGCTGCAGAGACAAATAGGCGGAAACCTCGTTGGCGTGGAATCGTTGTCGTTGTCGTTCTTCCAGCACCAACAACATGTGCCGATCCCCCGTCTCGTCCCAGGCCAGTAAACAAGCGACACGCGTGCCGGAGGGAGACAACTTTATCTGCAGCACAGCCGCACCCGGGTGGTAAACAAAGCTATTCCGACTAACCGTTCGGTGTTTTTCAGAAGCGTAGACGTGGTCGTTTCTGCATGGTGTGCTCCACTTCCCCTGCGACGACTCGTGGATGTGACTATATGGCCGAACGTTGGAGACGTTAGAAGGGGGCTGATGACATCTCCACGGTGAGTGCTGGCGGGAAAAAGAAAAAACATACTCGCTCGCATCGTGAAGAGAATTACTCTCCAACGACATGTGTGCGACATCCACAAGCTCTTCGAGCCGTGTTAAGTACGCCCGGAGAAGGAGCTCCTTCTGCCTGCGTATTTCAGAAAAGCGATCGTTGCCAAACACTTCATCAATGCCATCCAGATGGCTGTGACGACGCAACGGTATGTGCATCTTGTTGCTGCTTGACGTTGGACTGCAGTCGGACCCAGACGAGTGAGCGGAGGTGACCTCCGAGTCTCTCAATACATCACGCGAGACGGGTGCGCAGGAGACGTAGGCGACAGCGCGGTGCATTGATATTATCGGGCGGCTCGTGTTAGCGCCATTTTTTGCCCGTGGAGCGCCCATGACGTATATCACCATTCTCCCCTGCCAGCAGCGAAGTCAGGCTGGCAAACTAAGGAAAAACACCCCTCCCCTCCCCCCGAAAAAAAAAAAAAAANNAGAAAAGGACAGAAACAGTATTACAATTCTAAAGTCTTCCTTATTGAGCAAACGCAAACATATACTTGTAACTCCATTCACTTTCTGCGGCCACGTCAGATGCGCATGCCACACCGCATGCCGTAATAGTTGTAGACCGGCTTCGATGGCAAGTAGCAGTCCATGATAGAGCCCATGAGGCCCACCGCAACACCGTCCCAGAAGGTTGGCGCACTCCGCTCACAAACCTGCGACGCTTCCTTCATCAGCGTGTTCGTGACGGTTTGGCCCCTGGGACCACGCGTGCCAGCAGCATCGTCTCTCAGTGACGCCGCTGTCGTGGTTTTCGAAACCTCCTTGAAGAGTCTTTCCAACTCTGACTTCCCCTCGGGGGTACTAGAGAGTTCCTTTTCCAGCAACTCGAAATCCATGTCATCGGCAACAAACTCTTGGTAACGATAATTAGCCAGCGTAAACTTGACAGACTTCATCAGCGTCGTCATTACCAGCGAAATACAGCCAACTGTGAAGAATGGGCGCGTGCGAAACCCCCGAATAATAGTCCAAGAGTTGTCCCGCATGTGACGTGGAATACTAGCCGCGTATTCCATATAGTCGTCCCTCAGATCAACATATGTGCGTCGTGCAAGCCATGCGGTGAAAAGGCCACCGCATGCCGCCCCTTTACGAGCCCCGTCGAAGTAGTCGCAGCCGAAGGCACATAAGACGGCGTCATCCTGTTCCTGCAAGTAGAATGAAACGACAGCATTGCGCTTTTCGTGGCTGAGCGGCATGTGGTTTACTTACCCACCACCTCTCACCCCCACAGCACCTAATTATAACCTCTCGAAGCCACAGAAATAGGGGATTTGGTGGGGAGGGGCACCACCAGCAGGAAAAAAAAAACATATATATCATCAGTACTTACTATGAAACGACGATACATCTCTAAATAGGTAGTAGTAGCTACCTGCTGGGATCCAGAGCGCAAAAATAAATATAAATATATAAATATATATAAGCCGAAAAAAAAAAACACGCACACAAGAAAATCAATCACGTTTTCCTAATTGAACGTCGCACCGATCACACACATTCACAAAGAAAGAAAGAAAGAGAGAGAGAAATACAGACAGACAGATGTATCTGCTCAATTATACTACCTTTCGTACCCACATATCCATGTAGATGTCTTCATACGGAGCCATAGCCAGAGGTGCATGTAGAAATGAACGGTAGAGCTGATACCCGTGCTTATGCAAGAATGGGCCCCGCATTTTCTTGGCAAATGTGTGAAACATCACCATCACCTCTGGAAGAGGTGCCGACTTGGGCTCCACTGTCCGTTCCAATTCAGCGGCTTTACTGCTCTCTTTTTGGTCGCTCTTGTTGAAGGTGTGCACACCATCGTACTTCCACAATACGTAGTCTTTTGAATAACGCCGGAACATGATATCCTCGGTTAGCGCAGGGAGTCCGGTGTTCTCGTCAAGGTGCATGGAACAATCTATGAGACCTAGGTGTTTCACCTTTGTATGCATGTAACTAAAACCAGGCGTCGTGTAGCATGTAGCGATAATGTCGAGACGCTCCAGCTCTGGTCCACTGCGTACTTCCGCCATGACATCCAGTGGTCCCCTACGGTACACGTAACCCGCCAGGAGAGCAACAATGATGTTCAGCAGTATGAAGGCGCGATGAAGACGACGAACTGCGTGACTCTTGTGATATAATTGTGACAGCACAAAAGCCGTTACGATAAAACAGAATGGCAACACCGTGACAATAAAGCGATTCTCTTTGTGATCAATTAGAGAATAGCAGCCCAGCGTCCAGAGTGTTAAACCAATAATACCACACAGCTGCCGTGCTGCTGCCCTGCTCTCCTTGTCGTACCACAACACGAGCGGTGTGGAGAGGGTAAATAGAAAATGGGGTCCCACAAGGCATGGAAGAGACGGAAAAAAGTAAAAATACCACGCGTGCTCTCCGAAGAAACGGCTTGCATTCTGCAGCACATTGAACCGAAAGAAAGCCAATGAAGTAACAATCCACCGCTTGTAAAAGAAACTGTCAAGTAATGTGACACTTCCGAGAACGGCTGCAACCATAACTGCACCCCAGAGTACGATGCGTGCCAGACCCTTAAAAGTTCCCCATTCACGCACTTGCCAATACACATGCAGGAATAAGAGCGGAAAGAGAACAGCACCGGACGTCACACGAATAGCAGTTGCCACCCCACTCAGTAACAAAAACCGCACATATGAGCGCTCCTGCAGCGCAAGTAGGACGAAAAGTGCCTCAATCACATTGCTATAGATGCGGACACCAACGAAAGTCATATACCAGTTAGTCAACGAAAGCAAAAGCGCAGTTCTCGCAATGGAAGCATTTCGCCGTCTCCGTAAACCCTTTACCGAGAAAATAACGACAGAACTTGAGGAGCTGTTCAACTTCTCTGTCTCTGCATCCTCCAGCGCAGCGTCCATCGAGTCACCTAGTTTAAATATGCAAAGGTCAATTGCCGTAATAACACACGCCTGAAGGAGCCGCGACGAAAACCACACAGTCCAGGCCGTGTCGAGACCAACTAGTTTCAGCAAAAAAAAGGGAAACGCGATTATGCCGGGGAAAAGCACGGAGCGCAACCCGTAGTGCCACTCCCATGGGAGGTGCCCCTTGCCGAAGACCATGTGGTACGCTACCTCTGTGCTCTGCCACCACTCGTCCGGCGACTCTGCGGTGGCGATAGTCGCACATAGAAAGAGACGGTAGAGAAAGACAAGAATGATCACGACCCACGAGAGTCGTGTCACGTTATCAGCTTGTCCAAATCGTTGTTCCATTGACGTAAGTTGAGAGACGCTGTTGTTTTTTCCACTACGTCCTACTTTCCACATTTTCTGTCACTTCTTGACGTTTTTTTTTTCTATCTAAATCCCTATCTTTCATGTTAGGGCAGTGAGGTGGGGGACGGCAACGCACGTGACGAGGTTGAGAGAAGAGGCGTGGTAAAACACACATGGAGACACCACACAGCGGGCGTCACGCGTATCCGTGGCGTGGGATGAGCACGTGCACTCAAGAAAGGGCGTCCAACACATCACGGCGGACATTCTACAGATGCAAAACGAACAATACAAAAAAAAAAGACACGACGAACTAGCACACATGCATCGACAAGCACAAATACGGTCACAGCACACACGCACTCATTGTGAAACGTTACGAAGGGAACGCTAAGAAGGAATGTCTCAAAGTCTGTCCTTCTCACTTTGCACGTCTGTGAATGTTTGCGTCTCTGTGTGTGTGTGTGTGTGTGTGTGTGTGTGTGTGTGGGCAATCCACACAGAGTTCCCTATATATATATAGATATTCATCCTCAGCAATATACCCTAACTAAACCCCCCTTACCCCACCACCCGTTCCCAAGCAGGCCCTGTGATGCTATTGCTACTCTGTTGCCATTCCTATTTGGGGTGAATCTTGCACACCTCGAAAGCCCCGCTCCCGTCTTCAATGCCGCGTCGTGTCAAGCTCTTTGCCTTCCAAATGCGGTGGTAGTGGTACGCCATGTCGTGGCCGTAACTTTGCGGGTCACTATACACTGCCATCATGTCGTTCGCCCACCGCTGGAACTCCGGGATGTACTCGTAGCTGCAGTTGTGGGTGAGGTGGCTGAGCTCCTCCTTGCGGTTACGCGGGTTAGGGTGGAGAGACTTTGCTATCTGCGCCTCCCGCTCCGCCTTCGCCTCCTCAACAGTGCGGTTGGAGTAATGCTTGGTGATGCGGTTCTCCACGATGCCCTTGCACGCAATGATGCTGCGCGCCGGTGTCACTAAAGCGCACACAGCACCGGCGGCGGAAGAAGAGAGGAGCGGCACGGAGAGTCCGCGGCGCATTTTCTTTATCCTTGAGAGCCTGACGTCGTTCTTCGTCTCCTCCTACAGCTTATTCCGTGTGTGTGTGTGTGTGTGTGTGTGTGTGTGTGTGTGTGTGTGTGGGTGTGTGTGGGTGAGCCGGCAGGAAAAGAGAGGAAAAGGGAAAAAAAAAGAAAAGCGAGAGGAAATTCAGGTTATTGAGCGCCGTGGTTCCAGACCAGAAGCGGAAACACATCCTTCATCCACCGAGCAGCACGCACACGCAATAATGAGGCAAAACCTCCTGTTACACCACACGCAGCAGCACCGACAGCGGCTGCTATTTCACCTCCATTCGCACTCCCGCTACACTACTTCAGCTCACACTACGCATCTCCTATAGATGATGAGTGCTCTTCGTTTCATTTCCTTGGCTTACTTCACGTGTGGCATATTTCCTCCGCTCTTTCACTTCAGCGACCGTTCATTATTAGCCTGCTGAACATGACGGGATGGCGATGATGGTGCGCCGATCAATAAAGAAATATGTATATGGGGGCGCAATCGACTGGTCCCACGCACGCACATCCAAAAGATGGTAGTTTGCACAACATCGCCTTCGTCCATCTATTCCCTGTGCAAGATATGCGGAAGACCTCATATTTTGTCGTTACTCCCTCACTCCTCCAGCTCTCGACACCATTTTGACCCCACCCCCACACCCTTTTTCCCGTCTTATTGAGGTTTTTAAGTGCCGTAAAGGGACATTCTGCACACGCATACACACATGAGTATAGATATTCAAACCAACCTTGATACTGGCTAGTTGTAATTCTTCTCTATACGTTCTCATCTATACACGTCTTACCTCACTCTTCTGCAGCCTTGGCTCGTTCCTCGCTCCTCATCTCTCCCACCCACCCCTCATTCCCGACGTTTCTCCGTCACGTGTCGAGCTCCAGCAGCCCAACCTTCACGCCTACCTCGAGGCCCTTCGCACTTGCCACCTTGTCGCCTTCGTCGTCGCGGCAGTACAGCGGCGTGGCGCGCCCGTGCTGCACGACGACGTCGGGCAGCGTGACCCACCGCCTGTCGTCGAGGCTCAGCGGCGACGTGTCGGCGAGGCCGCGCTCACGCCACGCCACCCTCATATCGCCAAGGGAGAGCGCCGCGTTGGCGCTCGACAGAAAGAAGAAGCTGCTGCAGGGGTGGATGCACGTCGCGTAGTGCTCCGCGACAACCTCGGCGAAGTCGTCAACGAGGCTCGTTGTCTCGGCGAAGGGGCGCATGTCGCGCTCGTTCATCATNCCGACGCCGCTGTGGCGCCGCGCCGGCAGCTTCACGTTTACTAATGGAAGCCGCACGCTGCCATCCACCCCGTACGCCGTGACCCCGAGGCCGTTAGCGTACGACACAACCACAAACGTGCACGCATCGCCGTCGAAGTCGCCGAGCGCGTCCCAGCGCTGACGCAGTCGATGCAGGTACGCGTCGACGGGAGTGCCGAGCACACCGGCGCCCTCGAGCGGATACGGCAGGCACAACAGAGGGTGGTAAACACCCCGCACTCGCTGCTGTTTGTCGAGCACTAAAAAGCGCGACGCACCGCTGCCCACGCTGGACTGCCGCAGCAGCCGGTCCTGTGAGTCTAGCTGCTCCGCGAAGACGGAGGCGACACTCGCCGGCGTCAGCGCGATCTTCTGTCGTGCGCGGAAACTCTTGAAGGTAAACAGCGCAACCGCCTGCCGGTGCTTGATGCACGCGGTGTGAAGCATGCCTCACCTGCTTTCTCTTTTTGCCCTACCGCACTCAGTCAGCTGACCTGTCTATTACCGTCGCGTGGGTTCAACTTCCCTCACGATGCACGCGCAGTGCTGACACGGCACTCCTCCTCCTCCTCCTCCTCCTCCTGGCTTAAAACAACAACAACAAATAACCAAACAAACAGATGTATACGTGTGGAGGATGCGTAGGTTGCTTCCGAGACGCGACGTGTACACGCGTCCTTGGCAACACGCCTGCTTGTGGCAATGCGCCGCACGATGCCAACGAGCCCACGAAGAATCCAAGAGATGAAAAAAGAAAACGAACACAGAAGCGGAGTTAGCGAAAGGAACAAAACAACAACAATACCAACAGAAACAAGCGGCATAACATCCAAAATAAAAGCAGTACGAGCAACGAGGAGCGCCACCTTCACCAGAAGGTTCTTGTGTAAAAGGGCCTGCGGGCGTATGTGTGTGTGTGAGCGCGTTCAATTGTGAGAGACACAGAGAAAAGAAGAATCTTAAAATCCAAAACGTGAGAGAGCGGTGGCGTGGGAGAGACACACACAGAGAGGGCGGGCGGGCAGAAGACATATCGCAAATTCGAAGCAGCATTCATGCGAGACGAAATAACCCCAAAAAAATACACACCTCGCACTGGCCCTATCCAATCACCTCTCTACCTTTTCAATTCGCCCGCATTGACTCCTGCCCCCGCCGGTCACCCCTTATTCCTTCACTCCACACCTTTCAGTTAGCAGCAGCTGCCACCTCCCCACTCAGCACTCCTTTTATCCATCCTCTTCTCTCGGCTGTGCTGTGTCCTGCAGCTCAGTCTCGCTCCCCGCCTCCCTCATTACGAGTTCGAATGAGAGCGGAATTCAACAGTAAGGAACCATAAACACCATTTTTATGTTTCCCTCCCGTTTCGCACACACCTCCGGTTGCGTGCAAGGGAAGCCAGGCGGCGCAGCGGAGCAAAGCAAAGACATGGGGACTCACTCAGGCCCTTTCTCTCTCACACACACACACAGACAGACATCACACAAGCATCACGAAAGAGCTCCATCACGAAGGCACAAGAAGAAAATGAGGAGGGCTATCGTTTCCCTGTACTCCTTCCCTTCTCATTTTCTCTCCTTCTTGTGCACCTCCGGTTTGCATCGTCTCTCACAATGTGTCCCCGAATTGCTCCTCTCCATTTTACTCGCTTCCCACATGTTCCTCGTTTATTTGTTTTTCCCACCCTCTCAAGTCAAAAGGACACACACACACACACAAAGAACCCAAGAACCACGCAAAACAAACAAAAAAAATCAACAAGCACGCCCTCTGTGGTTTCTCTTCACCTATGAAGCACTACAATTCGCCGACTGCTGGCGCACAAATAACGTCACTCTGTCAGGAGTTTCGTAGACCACCGCCTGCGGTTGAACAGCTTGTATAGCGTCCTCGAGCACAGCAGCATGTAGACCGCGAGGAACGCCGCCATCGCGAAGAAAGCCTTCATGTTCTCCACCGGCGGGTCACCTTCACTATCGAATGGCACCGGCACGTTCATAGCATACAGAGTCTGGATGGTGATTACGGGGTACAAAATGTTCGTCAGCTCCGTCAGCAGTACCGTCTGGCGAAGGGCCTTGTTGCCACGCACCAGCAAGTTCCACGTGCGTGTCACGTTGTGGTACCAGTTTGTCACAGCCACAGTGTCACGGCAGTCGTTGACCTCGTCACTGAGGCGGAGGAGATGTGCACGTGCGCTCTCGAGTTGCCGGCACACCACCTTCTCCCGCGTGAGAAACGAGTCCATCATGTGTGGCTGTAGCAGCACGGACACAATGTGCTCGCGTCGCATCAGCTCGGCAGCGCACTCGCCAAAGCAGCGTCGCACATTAGTGATGCGCTGTATCACCTCATCCCTCCTCGCCTGCTCCTTCTCCACCTTGAAGATATCATCGCTCATCCTATCCAACGTCAGGGTCAGCGAAACAATGTCGAGCTGATGCCCCACGACAATCTGGAACAGGCTGGAGAAGATGAACGGAGACGTCATAACTTGCATCGGGCGTTGCTCGGCAGTTGAGGAGCCGTGGTCGCAACAGTTGATATGCAAGAACTTGAGAAGGTCCCCGAGCTCGTGGAACGGCTTTTCATGCACTGTGATGATCCAGTCGGGGAAGACGATAACCGCAACTGGGACTGCGGCGGCAGTGGAGGAACGTGGCTGATCGGCCATCGCCGCCTCGACACGGGACTGCATGACGCTTTTTGTCTGGTACCTACCCCGCGTATCAGCGTCAGGCAGGCTGGGCGTGCAGGCCAGGTTGAAGAAGAAGTAGCCAAGCCCTGAGTATGCAATGAGGCGATCCATGCCGTCAATGTAGCGGCAGTGGTCAATTGTGTCCTGTGCCACTGGGAAGCGTGCAAGGATGTCGGCGATGAGGTCCTTGTTCGTCGTCTGAATGTCCAGCCACTTCGCCGCCCCGCAGGGGGCCGCTGCTGCTGCCTCTGCTTCTGCCACTACTGTTGCTGCTGTTGTACTCTGCCCTGCACTCGGGAACTCAAGCTCGTGGTGCGCGGCGTACTGCAGGAACTGACTGGCGCTGATGAAGTTGCGGGCGAACGGCGTGGCGCCGCCATACCGCTGTGAGATGAACCACACATGCTGCGCCGCGTCCTCGACCTGGGCAAAGCTTCCGCTCCTGAGGGACTCTGATCCCACCGTGGTCTCCGCGTCCTTGGCCTGCTGGAACCTAAGGTACGGCGAGCGTCGTGCTGAGGCGTCTCGGCCCCGCGCAAAGCTCTTGTTGCGGAGGAACTCCACAATCTCACTGTTCCGCGATGGTCTCTTCTCACCAGTAAAGTTCAACAGCTCCTCATCATTGATATCGACATTGCCATAGAGCGCGTAGGCGTATGGGGCCTCTGCATGGATGGGTTCGCGACGACGGCGACTCTTCATGATTTTTTTCTCTGTCTCTTGTTGGGTCTATCTGTGCGGCCTAAGTTTTCGTGCCGCTGTTGCTGACCTCGCGTACGCTGTCAAAAATACGCCCTTGTTATTGTACGATACGCCTTGACACGATGCTGTCTCGCCGGGTTCAAAAACAGCGTATCTCGGTCTCTCTGATATGTATGACCTTCCCGTTTTCTTTTTTCGTCTCCAGTGTTCGTGATCCCAGTGTGCCTCCTATTCGTCAGTTTTCAACGCCGGTGCTATCGCCGCAGCGCCGGCTTGAGCGAGAAAAGGAAAACAAACGCAGTCGACACACGAAGACCTCCGTGCGTGTGCAGAGAGCCTGCAGAGGGAGAAGCGAGCGACAAACGAGGTCGTCCCTGTCGGTTTACACCGCCGCGTGTGTGGCTCGACGCAGCCACTGCAGGAATGCAAGGGGCCCCTCGTTCCCGCTCAGCCCGTCGTGGGTGGCCAGCAGTGCGATGGTGTTCTGCGAGGAGTCGGCGCGCAGGCGGGACGAAAAACAAAACAACAACAAGAGCCCGAAACCAAACAAGACTTTCTCGTTGGATTTGTTTTTGTTCGGTGCGTGAAGAACGACAAAAAAAAAAGGAGGAAAGCAACAAGGAATTCTTGCTGGGCAGCTGGAGGCACCGGAGCAGCCAGCAGGACCGGCCCAGCGCGCACCACGTGAGTGGGAGGCCGTCCGTCAAACAGCCTCCACAACACTCCACACACAAACGAAGGGATTCACATGAACAACCACACAACCGTCAACAACAACAACAAAAGCAGTACTACCAAAAAAAAAAAAAAACAATAGCTGTACGTCCTTGCAAAGAAAGCAAATAGAAGCCGACCTTAAATGGAAATAAAGGGAAAATGAGAGCATCCTGGATGAAGGAGGGACGATCCAACATCACCCGCGCATGATTGCTTCCCCTATTCCTCTCCATCCAACCTCCCCCTTTTTTGTCTCCCTTACGCACAAACACACACACACACACACACAATTAATCTCAGCCCTGTGTGATGACGGCCCCGGCGTAACTCACAGAAGAGTCCGATAGATTCGCACAGCGATTCGACTGCGAGTAGTGCAGGAAACGCACTGAGACCGTCTTTCGGTTCTTCAAGGCCACCATGCCCGCGGAGATGGGATTCCTGCCACAGATGGTGTTCTTGGTCTTGGCGAGGTACTCGTGCCAGCCGTTTATATCGCGCTTCTCCAGCCAATCCATGCCCTCATGGTCCATTGCGATGATGGCTTCAGCGATTTCCGGGTAATTTGCCTTCTGGTAGTGGAATGCGTACTGAAACCTTGAGCCCCAGTGGCAGAAGTCGGAACTCAGCACGAAGATGTTGCACGGGTCCCCGCAGTACGCCGACAAGACGGCACCAATGCGATCCTCCATCCCCCGGTTCATGTAACCGAGAAGCATCGGCACCAGCTCCACACGTCCCTTCGCGGCGGTGGCTCCGCTGGGTGGATAGTGTAGAATGTGCGAAACGAACGGCAGCTGCATCTCAAGGGAGTGCTCGTCTTCATCAGTGACTTTTGACATGCGCCCCACCGGCACATTGGCCTTGCGAAGCGCTTGGGCGACCTCCTCAACGGTGATGGTGCTCACGGCAAGCGGGCCAAACGGTGTTTCGTACTGCTGCGCGCCGGACATCTCCACCCCCTCAAAGCCCTTGTGGTGCGACGGCCCCAAAAGGAAGATGCGGGTGACTTCGCTTCCTTTTGCCCCGTACAAGTAGTTGTGCAGTGCTGCGTACACGTGTGCCGCCGTATTGCCCGAGTAACTGATGCCTGCATGAGGCGAGATGACACCGACAAGCTGTTCGTTGTCGCCCCACATGAATTTTTTTGCCTTTGCGAACAGTCCATCGACTGTAGCCCTCAGCCTCGTCGCGGAGCCATCATACCAGCTGTCAGCGTGAGAGGCGCGACGTGTGTACGACATATTTGTTTTTCTCTTCTTGTTGTTGCTATTGTTGGTGGTGCAGTTTGATTGGCACCGTTACTTCACGACGCGTCAAAACACCTCTGCAGGTGCTGGAGAGGACCTGAGTGGTTTTGTTTGTATGTATGTATCTCGCACCAGCAGAGTAAAGAATCGTGCGCAAACACTAGAAAGAGAAAACAAATGAGATACACATTGAGAAGTAGAAAATGAAGTCAACAGTGGGCCACACAAAGACACACACGCAGATAGAGAGAGAGAGAGAGAGAGATGGCGAGGGAGGCAAAACACAAGTGATTTGACACACTTCAACACTCAACAGCAAACGCACATCGACACAGAGATGGGAACTCATGCCTCTGCCTTCCCAGTATGAAATGCCGCGATGAGATTCATGGGATGACAAAAAAGAAAGTAGGAGGATGAATTGAAAAGCGAACTAAAGCCATATGTGTACACTTTTCATATATGATCAAGTGGTTTAAGTCCTACTGCCCACTCGATTGCGAATGACAAATGGTAAGACTCAACTTGAACGAAAACAAAGACCAGGTAACGAAACGATACATCAGCAGCAACATCCAGTTTCAAATCGAGGAAGCTCTCTTTACTTCCGGCATACTATAGGCCTGCGTTGCGACATCAAATATAGCAACGACGGGGCGGTGGTCGCTTGTCCGCACCTGCTGTACATCCGTGTAGAGACGAATCTTCACTCGGCTCGATCCGGACCTCAGACGCGTCTTATAGAGGACACGGTCACAGTACGCCGGCATACGGTCTTTTTTTTTAGTAAAATTATACGCATCGTGGTCAATCTCGTACTTATACGTTGGGCGAAACAAAAGCTTACCCTCCTGGAAACGGTGAAAAACAACACCTTTCGCTCTCTCCAGATTCAGTTGATCATTGTGAATGAGAATAGAGCGGATATCCTTGTGTTGTTTGATGATGTACTCAATTGCCTTGCGTGTACCATTGATGCGGTAGTTGAGATCACCACCAAAGAATACCAGATCAAATTCCTCCGTCACGTCGCGGTGGCTCTCTGAGCCTGATTGCGACTCTGCGAGTGGCAGCTGCATCACGGAGAGGTTGTATTCGTCATCTACGTCACTGTCATCCTCACTACTATTACAATCATCAACATCACCGTTTTTATCATATGTGGCCCCTACACCGTTTTCACCAGCTGCCCCGTCACAGTTAGTATGTTTTGTCATGCTCTTGCTGTCCGAGTGCAGCTTCTCAAAGAATGCCTTATGACGCCCACAAAAACCAACCTGAAGCGCTCGTATAATAGAGTGATAATCCTTGTTTCGCAAGCTCACTCCCTTTTGGTGTGCGGCCAAGTGTGCCCCAATGAACAGCAGGGTTATATACGGAGGCGCTGTGACGGCGCGTCCGAAATCACTCTTGGCGTCTAGCGATGCACCAGGCCCCTCTCTCGGAGAGAAGGCTGAGGGCGACTGCCCCATCGAAAAGGAAGTGTTCTTGTGCAGGCTCTCCGGGTTCACCTTCAGAGGCGAGACAGACATGGATAGCGCCAGCGCCACCGCGACGCCGCCCTTGTTGCCACCTAAGCCATTCACTATGCCCGTCTTCACACTTGACGCATCAGTCTGCTGCACGTATGGCGCAACATCGCTCTGCCGGGCGTAGACGAGAAGTTGTATGCACCACAATGTCTTGTGCCCCACGAGTGTGTAGAGGTTCTGCAGACACGTCTGCCCAACAAACTTCGTCCACCGCTTCTGCTTCCCCTTGAGGCCGAGGTGGTCTCCGTTTTCCTGGGTGCATACTACAATGATATGGGCATTGGGGCGGATGCAGTACAGCGACACCTCCTCTTTACACGCCTCCCTATGTCCCATATTCCAGCTGACGTAGGCCACGCGCAGAGGCTTCCCTGGGCACCACGGCTCGTCCGACATCTTTGTCGGCACCGGGAACGTTTCCTCATTGATGTGAAACGGGACTACGTGCCGGTCGTCGTAGTATTGATCAACGCGGTCGGGTGTGCCACCCTGAGCACTATTAAGGTCATCACTCGGCGCATTGTCGTCCGTGTCCATGGACATGATGCGCGGCGCGGCAGCAGCCCAAAGTGCAGCAAGATTCGCGCGCTCAGCCACGCCTGACGTTGCCGGCACACATGGCTGCTGCTCCTCTTCGGCCTGAAGCTGCCGGAGCACGTCCATACCCCTCCCGTGGCGCTTACCCAACCGGTTACGTGCCAGCAGCACCGGCTATGAGGTAGGGTTCTGTAAAGAATTAGTGGCTTTACTGGTAATTAAACAAAACTCTACTGATGTGGAGTTTAAGGAGAAAAAAAAAGACATGAACGCGATGAGAAAGGCGCGAAGATTCCAAACAAAAATAAAAGTGCTTTGCTCACAATCGCAGAAGCACAGGGCATCGTTCTCCAAGTTCTCGCGGAGCTAAAGAAATAGAGGGCGGAAGGAAGGGGGGCAAAGAGAGGAGCGAGAGAGAGAGAGAACGAGGCAAAAAAGGATAAGGAGAAACCAAAACAGCTCCTTCCTGACGTATCAATAACGAAAAAAAAAAACAGACGTGTAACCGCCAATCACATACTTTTGCTGTGTATGGTGTGAGCGTCCTGTCCGAACTCTCCCACCCACGGCAGGAGTTCTTCTCTCACGCACAACTCCTCCAGACGTTATTCTTCTGCGAATGCACACACACTGGCGCGCATCCCCCACTATCCTCTCCACACGCGTCGGAAGTCTGCCGCTATCACGACGAGGTGGATCAGCAGACATAACATCGGTACAGAGCTCAGTACATAGAATGCATTGTGGTTAGTGCTCCCGGGTGACGTTCCGTAGGGAACGGGGCAGTTCATACCAAACAAGCCGCCGACAACTAAAAGCACGTTCCAAACCGCACTCACGGAAAGAAGCAGCATCGTATTTTTTTGAAGACAGTACGAGTTCCTCGCAATACATAATGAGATAGAAGCATTCAAGGTCTCTGCTGTTCGTGAGAGAACACCTCGCCGGTGGTTCAGTTCTTCTCTCAAGGAGCGCACCTTCTCGTAGCTGTACTGGCACAACTCCACGTCGTGAACTTGTTGCATTAAAAAAGACACCTTTTGCCGAGGGTTCATAAGCGCCGATAGCACCTCCTCCTTTCTATTGCATCGCACAGAGGCGTTTCCAACTTTACGCTTTAATAGAGATATGTCCTTCTGCAATGCATTGAACAACTTCATGGTTTCGTCTTCACTCCCCCGTGATTGCCCATCCACATCACACACCGCAGAAACATCGTTTTCCAATGCATCGATCTCTCGCAAGAGTAGGCGGATATTTGAAGAGAATTTACGAACTGAGGCATCCATCAAAAGAAGAAACACCCGCAAAGGTGTCAGTTGGTTAAAAGACATGCCCTCCTCCACGAAGGAGGCTCCCCCAAACGGAGCCTTAACAGTGGATTGTTGGAGGCGAAAGATGGAGTTATTGACAGGCGAGCGGGTAAAACTGAGGCCTCCACCTAACTGAGAGCGATGTGCAACCGGGATCATAGCAACCGACGCGGCGTGGAGGTCAACGGGCTCACTCCCGCCAAAGAATCCACTGCGACAGTTTCGGTAAACATGCCTTGCGACCCCAACGAGTTCCTCAACGGCGGCAGAGTGAATGGTGATGAGCCAATGCTTCAGCACCAGGCACACCACAGGCACACTGGTTTTCGGGTCCACACACACAGTCCCCAAAGACCCAAGATCTCCAGCGCCCCTTCTACTCTCCTTCTTTTCCTCGGCCGCATCAGTGGCAGCAGCAGCCTCCTTATCCTCCCTCTTTATCGATCCCGTCAGCACGGCGAAAGTAGCGTTGCACCAGTCTTTTGTTACGATGTGATCAATGGCCGTAATATTCACCACCTCTTCACCCACCGCCTCCAAACCGAGTGCACCGAGCAGCGCATCCACCTGCGATGCGTCGTCCCACTGAAGATCCACCCAGTACGTGGGGCAGTGCGCTGCATCAGGCACCATAACGCCGCGTTGCGGTGATAGCCGACACGACGAGAACAAGGAGGCACTAAAACCATGTGATCCCGCCTCAGCATCTTCTGAAAATAATGATGATGATGATGATAATTGTGGTGGCAATGGTGACGACGCAGAAAACGGTCTCTCCATCGTGGGCACATCGCCATGCGTCTGCTGCGGGAGGGGGACAGCATTCCGTCGAATGTACTCGACCAACTCATCCGTACCTGCAAAAAGATGAAAGCAAGCGCTGCGGTACGGCTCCTGCACAAATAGCCACAGGTGCGTGGATATTGGAAATTCCGCTGCCTCAAGGAAAGGTCTCGCGCCTTCTGTAAGGCGATTCACAATCATTTCCATGAAGGAAGCATCAAATCCAGCATCCGAAATGCGCTTGTTTTTGCGCACGGTTCCCTGACGACCACCCGACCCCCATCTTATGAGACGGATGGCACTGTGCAGCGCCGGCTCGCCTCCTCGTGGCGCCCCACTGCCCCCCTCGGGGCTGCCGCTCAGCTCGTGCTGGCAGAGAATGGAGCAGTTGAGCATGACGCACCGCCCTCTAGGTAGGTACGTGGGGGAAGAAGAGGAGGAGGAGGGGGAACAGCACCATACACACACCAGAGGGGGAATACATGTGGAGGGTCTAAAAAACAAGGAAAATATATATACAGACACACGCATTGGGCATCACGACGGACTGAATGAGGTAGATTTCTCTTTCTCCCCCTTCCGATCTCTTCAACACGCCTGCTCCACCACAACGTACATTGCTTAGCACAGGGGGAGATTCACCCGACCACGCCTCTCACGCGCCACTGCAGCCATACTTCTTTAAACCTGAAGAGGAATAATTCAAGACTTGTAGCGACAACAAGAGAAAAAAAGTGAAGAAAACGGAAGGATTCATCAATGCAACAACCAGACACATAATAATAATAATAATAATAATAATAACACGGGAATATATCTTTAAATGCCACACAAAACGTTCATGCACAAAAAACAAAAGCTTGGACCAAAAAACAAAAAAAAAAACACGGATGCTACAACTTCGCTACTCTGAAAATTCTCCTACCCGATAACATGGGGAGCTGAAAAGCTTCGCGTCTACTATAATCTCACCACTTTGCAAGAGTCAAGCAACAAAAAACAACAACAACAACAACAACAACTTCCACCGTGTACACCTGTCGCCAATATGGCATGACACTAACGACGAGTTAACCCGGCAAGCAAGGTAAACAAAGCGTCCCTTCTTCCCCACCCCCCCCAAAAAAAAACCTCCTGTCACACTCTATGCACCTTTGCAGCGCTAGTATGAACCCAGTCCTATACTTGCCTCATATATACGCAAATCCCATATTCCCCATTGTTGACCCCGATCCTACTTCCTCATTATCATGCAGCCTCGGCCTTCGCTAACTCCTGCTCCTGTGCATCCCGTTTCTTGATGTAGTTGATGTACTTGTAACGAGCCTCATTGAAGTACCATACCTCCCCCTGGTTTGGGAATTCCTCTAAGGGGCGTTGCCACCAAAAGGCACCCGTTTCCCAGTCCTTTGGTGTCCCAAAGGAGCGCACAAACTGTCTACCAGGGTAGAACATATTGCTCATCATGGCCTTCATCACTATCATATCTAGAGCATTTCGAGTCATAAAATACATGAGTCCAAACATTAGGGCAAACAGCCAGATGTCCTTCCAGCCACAACGCAAGTTGTTATCACTCCACGATCGGAACCAGTTGTAGCGTTCGACCTCCGACACAAGCCCCGGTTCCTCAACACCAAAGACAAATTCTTTTTTACACTGCAGCTTTGGCACTGTGTAACCTGGTGGGGGCCAGTCTGGGTTCCATGATCGTGTACGAATAGTTGGCTGAATCTCGTCCCATTTCATGATGGTGTCAGACCAATGATACCATGTCTGACGGTTAAGTAGCTCCTTGGGTACACTGCGGAAGCCGGGACGGTTCTGTTTCCACGCCTCTCCTGGATAGTAGAACTCTTCTGCATCCCACTGTTCCTTAACAGCGTAGCAGGCAGCCGCCTTTGTATTGACGCCAGGCTTTGTGTACTCGTCAAAGTACTCGTACAGACGGTACTTCTTGGGAGTGTGCATGTCGCCATGTGAAGTTGTGGAGTTGTCCTCACGCATTCCCTGCTCGAAAGCTGGCCTGTCATCTGTCCTACGAAACTCAGAGGAGGAGTTGATGTTCTCATCGACGCGATGATAATCCCACTTATCCTTAGGCCGCTGCGTGAAGTAGCGTGTTCCCTCGAGCTCTTCCTTAGTCACTTTGGGCGTGCCACCATACGGGATCTTCCACCCGTGGAACCCGGCGAACTGGAACCCGTGGTACTGTCGGTACTGCACACGCAGCAGTGGCTCGCACGTGGCGGGCGCACCAGCTGCGCGGCACCGCGACCACATACCTACGCTACAGCAATAAATGATACTGCAATACAGTGGCGGAGATAGAGAAAAGGAATGAATGTGATATGAGCAACAGCCTGCATTATCACACGAGAGAGGTTTGGACCCTGACATTCACCACACGCCACATCAATTCGAAAAGCAAGAGGACTACGCCTCGCCACCTTTCCTCAAACAGTAAAAGAAAAACCTAGTATGCTTCACACAGACACAGAAAAAATATATATATAATCGGAGAAACCAAATCAACAATAATAATAGTAAAAGGAATACAAGTTTCTTTTAAACACCGAACGTCAAGTACCAATGCGACATCGCTTGCGCTTCCCTGCAATACTCACCCGCGTTGAATCGGTGCTTGTGGCAAGACGCTCCAAATCTTGACGGATTTGCACGCTGAGAAATGGCACAACTTGCCGCTGTGTGAGAAGGGAGCGTGCAAGTGTCGTGGCAGTAAGGGCGCACACGAGCCACTCGTGATTGCCATCGGGGATGACAACATCCTCCGCTTCGAGTCGCCGCATCATTTGCAACGCTGACTCAAGCGTAACCTCCATGGGGCATGCGACACGAAGATAATCCTCTATTTCACCCACCGATACGCGTCCTCGATGAACAGCGGGTGATTTCGTTAGTATGAAACTGGCAAAGATCAAAAAGGTAATGTCCTCCGAGTGAAGATGAGAGTTTTTCTCTGTTTGACCACTAGAGCATTGTTGTGCCAACTCTTTTATTGTCGGCATGCGTCTGTAGGCGGCATCTGTGTTGTCTTTGTTTCTCGATGCCGCTCCCTCATCAGTTCCTGTTGCCGTTGTGTCCGCAGTCGATGCCGTCAGAGCACAGTTTCCCTTAAGGAATGACGACTGCGAGAAGAGACGATCAAAGAAACGATGCCGAATGGTTACCGACATCACATGGTGACCAGTATCAAGCGAAGCAATGTTGGTGCTATTCCTCTGTTCCTGTCGGTGGAGGTTCGCGAGGTGGACATTGGCCGGGGAGAAGCACGGGGGCTCGTACGACGGAGGCGTCACATCCTCGTAGTACGTCAGTTGCATTACCAACACACGCTCACAGAGCAGCGGTGGCAGCCCCTCCACCACCTCCATTAGTTTTGTGATAATACCTGCCAGTGCCTGCTGCACTTCTTGGCGTGTGCGCCGCTTTCTGCGATTGACCACTCCTGTGACAACATCGACAGGCGCCTTGCCCGTCCCATTTCTCTGTGAGTTGCTCTCGAAAGTCAAGGCAGCGCGTTTCCCGTCTGGGCTGTAGGACAGAGTGAAGCAGTAGCTCTCCAGTAGCTCCGCGCAGTTTGGCGTGTAGATGCAGAGGGCAAGCTCCTTCAAGTAGCCCTTGTTAAGCGCGTCAAACGCCCCTTCCTCCATCCACTGAGAGATAGCGTCTGCCTCAGGTGATGCCCGCACCAGCTGTTTTAGCTGCAAACCGAGAAACTGCCGCGGCTGGTACGACTCATCGCTGCAGAGGCCACGCAAGTACGTGACACACGAAACCGCCACGCGGATGAAGTTACGAATGGCCGCGAGACTCTGCACCTGTGTCACCTCCGCTGCCGTCGAAGTCATGGTGCTTCTCTTTTTTCCAAAATATCGCCGCAACAGAGACGGAGAAACAGAGAAAAAAACAAGAGAAACACGTCATGCGACCTTGTCTCGAGAGTGGGTCACACCAAATGGCACAGTATACCACAGCCTCAACACCTTCACCAGTGATGCATTGCAGAGGAAAAGAAAAACAAGAGAAAACAAAAAAGCTTGTATTGAGAGGCGCTTTGGTACACCCTACTTCTTCGCAGCCTTGCGTTCCGCCATCTCCGCGCGGACCGCCTTGCCCTTGGCGGAGCGGTCAACCTTCTTCGTCTTAGCGCGCACCTCCTGGATGTACGAGAGGTCAGCGCCGACGATGCCGCGCTCCGCCTTCACGGTGCGGGCCGCACGACGGCGGTTGACGCGGTCGGTGGTCGTCTTGCGGTGGATGCGGCGGTACGTGCGCGTCCACGGGACGAAACGGGGGTTCTTCTTGCGCATGTACATGGCAAAGCACTTGGGGCGCGCGAAGGTCAGCACGGGCTTCGTGGAGAGAAACGCGAAGGGAACGTAGCGGCGTCCGTGGCCGGGGTGCACCGCGAAGTGGGAGAACTCACAGTCGATCGTCCGCATGGCTTCGCTACTTTTGCAACATGGTGTCAACACAACAGCAAACGAAAAAAAAAGGGATATTGAGACGCACGAGTGCACTACTCCTACACAGACAGAAGAAACAAACACCAAATAGGTATGCGGACGCCAATTAAATCAAGAGTAACTCTGTATCACGTCAATCAAGCGTATTACGCAGTCCCTCTCACGAGAGGAACTCCCCCCCAAACAGTTTTTGAGCTGGGTAACCCGTGGCAACGTGTGCAGCCACTCCGTCTAGTAGGCGTGTGGATGCACATATATACTTCCTTCAATACAGAGGAAGCAGCATTGTGCCAAACCAAAATTCCTGTACGAAGAAGATACAAGGTTTCGTGAAGGGTGATGCTTATAGGCAAGGTAGGAAAGCCACTGCTCAATGTGTTTCTTCTTCTCTGTAAAGTATGTATGTATGTATGTATGTCGGTATGTACTTCACTCTCCCCACTCACAGGTCCAGCTTCAGCTTGTTAAAATAGCCAAAGGTGTGGGACCGCGTCCGCGTGACACGACCCTGCGGTGGCTCAGTCAGGCTCGTCAGATACGGTCGTATTGCCTCGAGAGAGCGCCGCAGTGCCGCCTCTCGCTTACCGCGCTTGTCGAATCCTTCGATCAACTGTCCCAAGTACTCCGGCCGAACCATGCCCCATACCCGCTGCGGGGCCGCTTCTTCCGTCTTCTCACCTTCATGCGCTTGGTCATGGCCGTTCTCAACACTACACCTTTGGTCAACAATGTCAGTCTCATCGTCCAACAGCATGCACTTTTGGTCTGTAATTGTTTTTTGTAGGAGCTCAACTGGCTCACGCAGCAAAGGGAACTTGTGGTCTGTGGCAGCGGTGGTCTGCACGAAGATGTGGCGGTCGAATGGAAAGCGCCAATACACACGCCGGTAGCGGTCCATGCCAAGCGGACGGATGAGGGCACCAATGTCCTTGCCATCCTGCATACCAACATGCTCACTCACGACATCGCACAGCCGCTGCTCCATTTCCTCAAGCAGTTTCTGTCGCTTTTCCTCATACGTCTCAGTTGTGCTGTCAGCCGAATTCGACGCCGAAAACAATTTAACCAGAAGTTTGATTTCCTTCTCGGCCTCCTCGCGGGACTCCTTGGTTCGCTTTTCCATCGCAGTCTGTGCCTCCTCCTGCATCTTCTGCATCTTCTCCGCCTCCTCCTGGACCGCGGGGGTGGTGAGGGCCTCTGTCACCATGTACTGCAGCAGGTTTAGGCGGTCCTCCATGTCGAGGTTGCCCCACGCCGCGAGTTGCCGCAGCTCCGCCACTCGCTGCATTGTGGCTTTGATCGCCGCATCCATGCCACTTGCCGCGGGCTCCACGTCCTCCGCCTTTCCTGCCGCTGCGTTGGTGGCATCCTCGCCGCCTTCCTTATTTTCCCCGGACTCCTCTTCTTTTTTTTCTTCCTCGTCATCATCTTCTTCCTCCTCCTCCTCTTCTTCCTCTGACGCGACATCACCCTCGTCTTCCTCTTCTTCGTCACTGTCCTCATCATCTTCCTCATCGTCATATGAAACAGACTTTGGGCGGGGCGGCGGACGCTTCTTCTTGGTGCCACTTGTCACTGCAACAAACTCCGTCATGCTGTCGAACCAGTCCTTTCCTCGCGTAACGATGCGCGGGCCATTGGTGGAGCGAAGATTCTCCATCGCGACTTCCAGCAGCGCGCTCGAAACCTCGTCCATGAGTCCGTTGTCGCGTCCCTCGTCTGAGAGAAGGCCCTTCAAGAAGAGTTTAAACGGCATCTGCGAGAGATGAAGCACACGTGGAAGCGATGTAAGCATGGCCCAGATGAACAGTGCCCGCTCATAGTGCTCTGGTGTTTCTAGTGGTAGCGTGTCGTACTGCACGTAGCCGCTACTGACGGGGTTTTTGATACTGGTGTCCTCCACGAGACCTGCGGGATCCAACTCGCCAAGGTGAGCGCGCACCAACCGCCGCTCCTCCTCGCGCTTCACCGCGAGCTCCTCCTTCGCCCGTGCCCGCTCGAGGACCTTTATGCGCTGTTCGTCTCGCTTAGCCCGCGCTGCTTCGCGCGCCTTCGCCTTAGCAGCCAACGCCTCTTCTGACGGACCCAGAAATGGTGTCGTGGTGAATCCCTCGATGCGGTTCACTTCCGCCATGCAGGCGTGCGCAATAGGGTGGAGCAAGTCCTCGTCCAGCTCGTAGCGGCATTCCTCATCCGTTTTGAATATATGTGATGCGTTGTGTATCGCCTGCAGGACGGCCTCCAGTGAGACTTCCAAGAACGGCTCGGTAGACGGGGGCGTTGCTTCGGGTTTTGCACTGAAGGAAGCTCGCTCCACATCAATGACTTCTTGTACCTGCCTCACACCCTCCTCGAGGAAGTCAAAGATTGGCAGAAGAGTGTTGTAGCGCACCGCATACACATGGCCAAGAAGCTGAATCATCTGATTAAGAATAGTCACCACCTTCTTTTCCGGTGTTGTCAATGCGCGCAGGCGTCCAAACACCGTCCGCTGCACAGATGGGCGTGGTGCTGTCTTTTTCACTGCACGCGGCACGCCTCCACTTTCCTCCACCCTACTCACTTTATTCGGCGGCTCCGCCTCCCCCTCCTCTATCATCTCAGTCACAGCTTTTGACGTTGCCGCCATTCCAGTATTAACACCAGCAACATCTGTAGTGTTCTCACATGAGCGGGAGACACGCTTCCGTAAGTTCGTTTGTGGAATCGCAGGGGTGCAGCCGTCGTCCTCCGCAGATGTCTTACTGCCTTCTGTTGGCGGCGATGTGGACACAGTGGACTTGGAGAATGAGCCTATTTTTTCTCCTGCATCCTTCATCTCCTGCCGAAGAGACTTTTCAAGGGCGTTCACGTCGTCCAAGACGGTCAACATATCACGAAGCGGCGCCTCGCCAGCGGTTGGATTTGTCTTCACGAGATGCGTGAGGGTCTGCAGCACGTCTTCCGATGCTCCATACAATGCCGCAACGCGTTGAAGCACGCCAAAGTTGATGGGAACCTTCTGTCGGTCATGCGAACGTCCCCCCAATGGTATGAAAGAAAGAAGGTCAGACAAGTAATTACTGGCAGCATGCAGCGTGGCGGGTCCGTACAATCTCTTTTCGTTCGTGTTTGCCTCTACAACAGCCAAGGCAGCCACAAGCGTCAATTCAGTTGACTTTATCTTGTAAGGTAGGACTTCCTCAGTAGGGAGCGAGCTAAACGCTGCAGCACTCCCTGGTGCGCCTTCAGCCTTGTAAATCTGAAAGGCCGTCCTGGTCTTTAGCACAGCGCGTGGCGATGACATCATGGGGTGCTCCTCCAACTCCGTCTCCTTTTCTTTCCGAGACATGGAGCTGGCCAGACGATTGCGTGTGTGTGTGTGTGTGTGCGATCCGCAGTCCAAACTCCGGGAATGGAGAAGGGCCTTTGGTGTGCGTGTTGCCCTTTGGTGATCCTTCGTCTCCGCGGGCCGCCGTTGTGTGTGTCAGCAGGCGAAAAGAATACGAGTAAACCCGAATAAAAAGGCAACAACAAAAAAATCAAATAACTGGAGAACAGACGAAAAACTAAAAAAAAAAAGAAACATACATAATATACCATGTAATAAACGACTAAATCATTCCCATCCGAAGCAGAGCCACTGCTGCAGTTAGACGGCTGAGGAAAAACGTGAACACCTTCACCACCACCCCTCCCACCACTCTGTTTTCGGTTAAACAAGCTCCGGCACCAGCAATTCATCCTTTAGTTGCGGCACCCCTAACGTCGGCGCAGCAACAGAAGCAACAAGCCTCGGCTGCGGTGTCACCGCAGAGGCAGAGTTTGGCGAGAGAGACTCTGCCACGCATTGGTGCGTCGCCCCATCCCCCTCAGACGCGTTGACAACATTCAACCACCACTCTGTCGGCACTCGACGCGCCATTGCGTTGTCTTCCTGCAACTGCGGCAGAAATGACGGAATGCCAGCTAACTCCCCTCGAGCAAAAGGGCGCGGCAACAGGCCACCAAGCGCGTACACCCGCCTAAATGCGTCATAGTTCGAAGACTCGTGAAACATCGCGGCAGAACCATCCTTGAAGCGCAAGCTGGGCGACATTTTTGTGGCAGTCAGGCGGCTCCCGCAATTCACAGCCTTCTTTGCGTAAAGCGAGCTTGCAAGTTCATTTTGCAAGTCGGTGTTGCCGCGGAGTGAAGGATCAGCCCGGATGAACTGCAACTGATGCTCACGAACGATACGTTGAATCGCGGCAAGAATATGATCAACATGATACATGAACATAACGTGAGCCAACTCTTCCATCACGTGCCATACCAGCGCTCGAAGAGGAAACATTTCGCTAGTGAATGGAAGTTCAAAATACTCTGTGCCGATGTCTGTTTCAGATGACCAAAGAAATAGCTGCAGCTCCCCAAACAATGTCTCCACCACATCGCTCTTGAACTTACTTACCACACGATCACTCAACGTCAACTTTTGCAGCTCCAGGTAGTCATACGCACGCGCCAATCCATCATTGCCATCAATCATAAACTGTGCATAGCCTAAGCGTCCTCGAATACCTCCCTCACGCACCGGGAAAACAACATTGAAGCGGTCATTGAAGACATACTTCACAACATTGTCCCCAATCCACTCAAGTCGCTCAAACTCCCACGAACGACCAGCACCACCGGCATTTTGATTTACGTTGAAGGTGTCACGGATGACATCTCGGTCCTTCAGAAACTTGAGTAGGTACTGCAGACGCCGCTTTCGGATGTGGCTGTTGTCATGACTCAGCACTGGGATGCGGTTGAAGACGGGAGAGGTGTTGAGGCGGTGCCACCACATCCTTGCAATTTCCTCTGGCGTGCCGCAGTACGCACGCACCATCTCCAGCATCAACGCTTCGCGTCCCGAGTGGGGTATGACGCCGCTGTGGCTGTGCCACTGCATGTAACTCTCGTTGCAAAGCTTACAGCGTTTGCCGTCAAAATCACTAAAGAGGTCCACAAACTTTTTCAGCGGCACATCCACGCTTAGCTGAAACGCTCGGCCACCGGCATCTGATACCATGTCCTTGCGGTAGATGTGCACATGCGCGTACGGGTCCTTCGGGTCGGCCACAGAGACACTGACATCAACTGGCAGCGGCTCCTGTGTGACGCCACCAGCGGAGCTAGAAGAGACGAGACGCACACGGCGCGGCGTCACCGGCACGTCAAGGTGTGGTGACGCCGGCACTGCGTGTTGCCGCTTCGCAACGGAGAGCGCGGAGGTCGCAGCAGCGGCATCAACACCAGAAGCTGTTCGCTTTACTGTTGTCGCAAACACGGTGGCACGTGCGAAATGGCAACGCCGAAGCCGCTGCATAAGCTCCGTCGGACCTGACGAACTACTGTAGAGCGAAGCCAAAACAAACAAAAGAAAAGAAAAGAAAGAAAAGAGAAGGACAACAATGAGAGAAAGCGGAAGACACAACGCAACAACAAACGATACAAGGTAGTACATGTGTAATTGGAGAGTTATTATGTCTTGGTGCCATGATAGGTGTTTCTGTCCACTCCCATCGCCGCCTCCACCAGCTATACATCTACATTACACCACCCACACAAACGTGCACACACACACACACACACACACACAGCAAACGCGAATTCACTCTACTTCTTGTGTTTGCTCTGCCGCGAGTCCATCCTCTGCGTGCACTCGCCGACCTTCTTCTCAATCTCTCCTAGTCTCGACTCGATCTCGTCGAGGCGGTCGAGTGCCTTACCTGTCACCTCCTTCTTGATGCTCGCAAGCTGCTCGCGGATGCCGTCGCTGTAGTGCGGGTCATCGAGCAGCCGTTGCCGGAGCCTCTCAAGCTCGTTTGCGTCCGATGTAGCATCCTCTTCTTCCATCTGATGCGCCTCTGCTTCGCGCTGTTGTTCCTCTACTGTGGCACGCCACTCACTCTCCGGCGTCGCGATGACAAGCGATGGCAGACCAACTGGCGGAATCTGGTGGATGTGCGCCACGTCTAAACAGCGCACGTTCGCCACCTCACGCGGCACAAAGACGTACACATACATCTTGTAGTGGCGGTAATAGGACTGCAACATGTACTCGTCAAACTCCTGCGCGTCACGCATCGTAAAGATGCCGCATGAAAAGGGTGGGCGCGGGACACTGTGCTGTATCATAAGTTCGCGCATTTCATGATACGACTGCGCACGTGTGTAGCGCTTCGACATACTCGTTTCGTGTAATTTCAACATGATTCCAACGAGTGTGCTTACCTTCTCAGGCGACATCTGACGCGACCTGCTGAAGAGGATGAGGTGAGCGAGCATGTCGAGGAGAATCCGCACCTGCCCCTCGCTGTGCTGAGGTGTCTGCAAGAGCCTTCCACCCGTCTCGGTGTCAATGGTCTGAAGCAGCAATCGGATCGCTGGAACATCGGGTGCGACGAGACACTTGTGCGTGTGCTCAGGGCTGAGGTACCGCCACGCCAAGGAGTGCGCCATGGAGATAGCGCCAAAAACGCCGCCCACTCTTCACGCAGGGACACGCGACGCTATTCCGCGGCTATTTGTACGAGTTGCAGGGGCAATGGGGTGCTCTCGCTACCTTCTCCTCTCCTTGCACGATTAAAACAAAGGGTTAAGCAGCCATGCACAGCGACGTTTTGAAACATATTTCGAAACAAAGCAAAACAAAAAAGAAGCAAAGAGGCAGTTATAAGAACACACACAAAAAAAAAAATTAACCCGAAGAGTTTGTTGTGGAACAGTAAAAGCCTTTGTTTTTTGCTTGAGAATGCATCCACTCCATCCGAGTGTTCCATGTGTTTACAGCCACCTAAGAACGCTTAACCCCACGTGATCACTCCTGACGCACATGTGTGGTCAAACTCTTCTTTGTCATTGCCCGTAGGAAGTAATGACGGGCATGACCCACAAGAGTACGCAGCCGCTCATCCTCCCCTCCCGCCTGCGTCAGTTTTGAAACACCATCAGAGTCGTGCACGGTAAAGAGTAACTCTTCGACACTTCTCCCACCACCGTAGGCACCAGCCTCTGCCGCACCACCAGAGTGCGTCTCACCTAGCAGAACCTTGAGACGGTCGTACAGCAGTGCTGCCTCCTCCGCACAGCCACCATTGGCGCACGCCCTGAGCCCGTGGAGGAGAAAATATGACTGAGTCATTATTGAATTCCTTCCATCAGCAGCGACGTTATCGCTTCCGGCAGCATCCAAAACTGGCAGCATCTCCGCCACGTGCTGAAGGGCACGCTGCCAATGCCGCTGGCGCACCAGCAACAGTAGAAGCCCATTGGCATCCTCCAGCCTCCATTGATCACCTTGCCTCATTCGCAGGTGTAGTGCAGTCTTGGAAAGGTTGATTGGAGCACGGCACAGGATACGCATTAGTGATGCCACCACACCGGGTGGCAGCGGCGCCGCCTGGCCTGTTTCCACAGAATTCAAGACAAAGGCATTGAGCAGTCCTTCGAGAGCCAATCGCCAGTCAGCATGCCCCACAGCAACTTCACATAGCAATGATTCCAAAGCTGGGGGCGACGATACCACAGGGGTCTTCTCATTTCGCACCCGTTCTCCTTGCTGCAGTTGTTGCTGTTGTTGTTTGTCTTGAAGGAGCTTTATGCACATCTGCAATGCACGTTTATCACGCAGCGCCGATCTCGCCTGAATATTCAGCATTCGAAACTCAAGATTTCGCTCCGCTGGGTGGTGCAAGGATACCCAGCGATTTAACCACACCCATCCCATGTCTCTTCGCATTGTCATCATACTTAGGCGCATCATCGGCAAAAGGAGCGCCGATAAAACGTCTCTTTCGTGCTGTTCAAGCGGTTCATGCCCATTGCTAACGTCCGCGCTATACGATGGAAGGGAGCGGCATGCCGTGTGCTCCACCGCATCCCAGTACACTGTCACCGCTTGCATCCATAGTGAATTGCCTTCCCTCGTCACGCTAGATGCTCCTCTGCGCAGGCGATCCAATACGTTGATAAAGAAGGCGACGCTCAGAGTGCCAGGACGCAGACGCAGATGATGCAAAGCTACTTGCTCCAGTATGATAGCTTCCTCCGAGCACATTGCAGAGAGAGAAGAGGTTAGGGTACGCTCCACTGCCAGTGTATCATTTCCGTAACGCAGCGCCACAGCGTAGACCAGCTCATGTATCTTTGCGGTACTCTCAATGCGTGCCACATAATCCGAGGAAAATGTCTGCAGCCGCAGTGACGTAGACAGTGAGTCCGTCCGACTCCTTCTCTTCGTGTGTCCGTAGAGCAAGTGTTCAAGCTGCCGCAGTTCTTTCTGACGCAGTTGGTGACGCACCTGCTTCCCCAATCCGCTCGTGGGACGAAGGAGTGCCCTTAGGCGGAACCGCGTGGCAGCCGGAAAGAGTTGAGCTGCAGAGTCTGCATACAGCAACAAGAGTAGGCGAACCACGAGGACAACGCACTCCAACGTACCATCTGGGGTAGAACCAAACAGCAGCTTCTCGCTGGTTGGGGATAAATTCAAGAAGGAAATAACTGCCTTCGTCAATTTCAAGGCACTTTTTCTCAGAGAAGCCATGGGCTGTCGCAGCTCGACAGTGCCGGCAACATGTGAGGGGACGGAAGCCACTGCCTCTGTCGCCATGCCCAGAAGAAGCATCAACTGCTTTGACGTCAGCAACGACGCACCACGCTGCTGCGACGAAAGCTGAACGTGCGTCACGCACAATGCCAGCGCAATCCGCGAAACACACAATGCTATTGCGATGACCATATGCCCCCGCTCTGGCGCTTGGCGTGCCAAAACGTCACCTTCTGCTGCCATGTACAATTCTGAGAAAATCCCCCACACCCCTGCGTGGCCATACAACGAGTCGACAAGCAACGCGGAAATCTGAAGTGCATCTTCGTGCGAAACGACAGTAATCGATGCCAGGGCAACAACACGGGGAAGACCGAGACACACCAGGAAATACGAATCCTTCAGCCTCTCCGAAAGAAGGGCACCAGTCCTCTCATGTGATGAGCTTCCGCCAGGCTGTTCCGTCAGTATCCCTCGTCCCTGTGGCTGTTGTGTCAGAACACCATCTTGGGAGAACAAACCCAACCGAACCGAAGTGGCCAACACACGCTGAGCCGCAACCTCCGCACGGTACCTGTCAACCTCAATGCGCAGATGTGATGCAGCGAGTTTGATGCGTACCATGGCTTCCTTAATAGTCGCAGGAAGATTTGTTGTATGGCACTCCATCAGGTCCACATAATCCTCGGGTCTATCAGCCTTCACAGAACAGATGTGCCCAAGCCAAATGGCCTGAGCAGCGTATCCAGCTGCGGTTTCGTTACTGAAATGGGGCATAACTTGGCGCGCCACCAACCGTTCAACTGAATAGTTTTTCACCCAGGGCTCCGCCTCCACTGCCATAATCAAAAACTTTACGTAGTCTCTTTCCTCCAGCTGTACACCGAACTGCTCGGCAGCTTGTAGGTAGCGAAGCGAAATTCTCCACGAGGCCGACGCTGACACCGCTCTCTGCATAGCGTGGCGGAAATCTGCGAGGAGCGGAGCGCCATGCTGCGACGGTGGTCTGGAATCCAGGTACGCAGTCGCCACATGGAGCGCCTCCGCCCAGTAGTGCCGCCGTGCAGCTGTTGGCAGCTGTCGCGTTCGGATGACAGGGTGATGTCTCTTCTCCTTGGCATGCTCGTGAGGTGACACGACAACTCTCCTAGCGTCTTGCAGCAGCATTAGGTGATTCAATAAGGCGGTAACCTCAATGATATGACCTGCTTCCTGTGAAGCGTGCAGCATATCCTCGTCAAACTCCACACCCTCTGTGACTGATGAACCGGAAAACTCAGCGACATCTGTGGCGGGTGTACCGTCGTTGGCGTCAAAAAAGTCCATGTTCCCCATAGAGGCCTCGTACAGGGCCCACCGTTTCACCCAATCTGGTTGCCGACGAAATAGCTCCGTATCAACAATAGAAGTCTTCTTATCACACACACTCGGAGAGTCTCTGACTGTACCGCCATCTCGTGCTCCCGTGAGCGTGAAGGGCACAGCACATTGCGGTGAGGCAGCAACAGTATAAGTAGAAGAAGTAGTAGTAGCGACATCATCCTTAGAATCCTGCTGTACATTCAGTATATCAGGAATGTGAGGTGATGCCTCGCCCTCCCGGGGTTTCGCGGTATTTGTACTGCTGATGGATTCACCTCTTTGTCTTTTCTCTCGTATCTGCTTCATTGACCAATGTGACATGTGCTTCTCTTGCATCCACGCATTCGATTCCAAATCCGTCACGGTCGTGGAGTGCTCGTATGGCAGACTCCTTAGCAGCACCACCACATCCCACTTCTGCAGCTGCACTCCTAACATCAGCAATCGTTGGTAGAAACGTACAGCTGCGGCGATAGCGCGCATATGAATGAGGTGGTGAAGAAACCACCTTGCACTGAGCGACAGGGACTCCGACACCTCCGACGCGTACAGGCAGCTGCGCCGCAGTGAAGTCCACATGGCAAGCAGAAGGGCGGCGTCCTCCTCGTTATTTTCCAGAAAATCCAACAGAGGGTCTTGGATTGAGGACTCACCTTCGTATGATGCCTCCACATGAGGCACATCACGTTCCACGGAAACAAGCCCCAATTTCACTGCCCTTTCCCGCAATTCCGTGTTGATCTTTGCAGAAGATGATGCTACATTGCCTTTAAAATTGGGCTTTGTTGCTTCACCGTCTGCCGTTGCTTGCCTCTCTCCCGGAAGCTCGTTACCGTCTTTGTGAATAACAGAAGTTGCCACCGTCGCCCCCTGGGTAGTGAAAGCGGCAGCTGCAGCAGCGGCTGTGGAGTAGCGCCAGGCAGGACCAAAGCACTGCTCCATCTGGCGCGCGTGACGCCGAGAACGTGCCACCCGTTCTGCACGGTGCAAATCCATGCGAATCCCGGCGTGGAAGACATTCGTCGTGGCTCGCGAAGCACGCATGCAACGCGCTCTCCCACCCCAACACGGAAGGGAAGCACTTTGGGAAGCTAAACACAATCCGGAGTGATCGTGGTGCCCTCAGCTGCACCTCTTCTGCCCCCCCCCTCTCTCTCTCTCTCTCTCCCCCAGCACCCCTTTATGCTTCTCACGGCACACGTCGCTCCACGCACGCCGAGCCTTCCACTAAGCCTTCTGCTTGCATCAAGAAGCCAAGGAAGGAGGGCATCAGTGACTCGACACAAGCGTACAGACACACACACATATACACACACAGTTTCCTCCTGTCCTCCTCAACACGCAAAGTAATCAACAACAACAAAAAAGAAAAAAATGACCCCAGCCACACACCCATTCTTCTAAGACAAACAAACAGCAAGTCGATAGGACGCAGAAAGCCCATACAGCAATTCGAGTCGGACTGTCTCACCAAATAGATGAAGCATCACTCCAAACTCATCCCCCGACTGTTTGCCTCATTTCTCCTTTTTTTTGTGTTTCGCGTTTCTCTCATCAAGACCTCTTCTTCCGCTGTAGTTGCTGCTTCGATGAGTAAAAGAACAGTCTGCTCAATAATGAAGAGATACTGACGCTTACGAGGAGGAGCGCCAGCACGACTCCCACCAATGCGAAACGCTGTGAGGGTTGAGCAAATAATAATATGGAATACGCCGAAGCCTCCCTGCTTGTACTGTCAAAGGTGCGGAACAAGATTACAGCAGGAATGAACAGCGGCATGACAGCCTCCATCAGTAGATTGAGACGGAGACCAAGACGTACAAAAGAACCGCCCTGGCGGTGAGGGCTGCTTTCACCTGAGGTATCACCTCGCTGAGTCACAGAGCGCCGCACACGCTTCAGCCAGTACTCACGTGCCGCCAACAGCACCCAACTAACAGCGGCCGCCACCAGAATACCCATCCCAAGCGGGTAACAGAGCACGTGCTTCAGCTCCGTCCCCAAGGCACCGGTAAGTGCTGCCGATAATTCCCCTTCCTGTATTGAATCAACTCCTTCCAAGCCAGTGTACCGTCCTAGGCGCACTCGCGCAATGAGGGCAAGGGCCGTGATGAACGCGTCCTTTGGCAGCAAAGTGTTGCTATACACAGCCTTACGTAATTGACGGTCAACCTTTGCAATCTGCTCCTTTGTGGTCTTGAGGCTCTTCTTGGCCTTTGTCAATGTTTTCAACTCTTGACGCAAGACTGCAGTGGATTCATCGTTGGAGACTATCTTGGCCTCTACCTCCTGCAGCCTAACGGCAATTTTATCGCGAATGTGCGGCAACATGGGTGCCGCAAGCGCGAGAACCATCTGATGAGCCCGACGACTGCTGCTGAGCACCATCTCCGCCTCACGAAGAGCCTCCCGAATCTCTGTCGCAGTGGTGTTGGTGCTTGGGCCCTTATTCCTGCTGAGAGTGTCAGTGTCGTTGTTATTCTCGTTCGCACCCATTGTTACATTCCGCGAGCGCCACACTACCTCTACACGGCGCAAGTCCTCCTGAATGCTTCGCATCTCACGTTCCAGACGCTCCACTGCCTCACCTTCAAGCAACATCGGATATGGCAGGGCAAAGATGAATTCCGTGACCCACGTGCGGCCCTTCTCTGTTGTCATATTGCGCACTGTGTGGCTAAAGGCATCCCTCAAGAGGCTAAGGTACTGCCCCTCCGAAGTCCTCTCCGTCGTCACGTTGGGAGAGAACAAGAAAGATTCAGTTAATAGCTCTCGTACATGATCTGCATCTGAGTAGATGATATCCCACATTGGTTTCAAATTAGTGTAGTTGTTCAGCTCCCTGAGACGCTTGCGCCTTGCGTCCGCGCGAGCCTTTATGGAGGCCTGAGAGAAGTCCCCAAGAGAGCTTCGCCGCGACCTGCCGGCAGCACTCCCCTGCCTTCTCTCTCCCTCCGCCTCCTGCCTCTGCTGTTGTTTTTGTTGTTGTTTGTGTTTTTTATCAATGAGCCATTGCTCATATGCAGTGTCCTCCTCATCAAAGAACGAGGCATCTTCGTCGCGATGGCCACCATGCGGCCAAAATCCAGGAATAGTCTGAACTGCAACTCTGGAGTGCATCTTCTTCGGTGTAAGCAGAACGACTTCATCCGTCACGTCGTCCGTAATGGTAACGAAATCGGCTGCCACGGCGGGAAGGGATATTGCCACCAGCACAAGGACGATAAGGAACAAAATCAGCCGCCCCATCTCGCCGCGCACACAACGTCTTTCCCCTCCTTTGAAAGGGAGAGCCAGATGTGATGAGTGACTAGTCATTGCGGTCACTTGCTACTGTTGGTTTCCTTTTGGAATCCGATTGGAGCAGCACACGAAGCGAAGGAAAGGGCAATGAGGAAAAGGGCACGAAGAATAGAGAGCAATGTGCGAAAAACATCAACCTGCAAACACAGATAGGAACGGCTGCAGAAGAAAGAAGGAGGGAACTCAGTATAACGACGAATAAACCACCAACCAGAAAGGCAGAAAAGCACAGCCTTTTTAGCTGACCATCACACATCTCAAGACCAAACAAAAACCAAAAAAAACTCCATTTCTATTTTGAAATCATTGGGCCAATACAAAATTCGGAATAGTGGTGGGGAGAAGGACGGTAACAGGTGGACGGAGGGAACTCCAGGAATAAACGGGCCAAAAGCATAGATCATACCATGAGAAGTACCACATTACCTCCCCACCCCAGGGTTAGAATTGTGCTTCAGCATAACACCCTCGCTGCCACTGCAGACCCTGCAATCCGCTCCTGTTGTTGCTGCCAATACTCGGCGTTCCTCGGCGAATACAGAACCACACACCACCCACATGCAGTGCTGTTGCAACCAGCCACTGGAACCAGTGCATTGAAACCCGCAAAGCACTGGCACGGCCATTGTCGTTGCGAAACTCAACAGCACCACCCTGAAATGGTCGTTGATACCATTCTTAAAATAATAAAAAAAGAGCACCTGGAAGACGCCAAGGTCATCACAATCTGTTTCCTCTTCACTTCACGGCCCTCATCCATCAGCTCACGTACTTGCATTTGCGTCAATCGTTTCTCAGACGGATTGTCGCCACATCCCCAGCGGCCCTCACACTGCTTCTTTTATCCTCCCCTGTCTTTCATCTCCGCGAAAGGTAGCCAAGACTATTGTGTGGGGAGCACTCATCCACATGAGCCACACTCTGGAGTGCGTACAAACACCACACAGAGCTGTTTTGGAGCAGTATCCCTTTGCCACTCACGCAGGTATCTCCTTCCAAGGAGATTTATGTTCACCGCCTCTTTGCAAATGAAACAACAGCAGCAACAACAACAACACAAACAAAAAACAAAGACGGAGAACAAGCAACAGAACACTTGGAGAATTGTGCTACACCATAAGGGCATGACAGTGATGTGGAACTTCAACCCCGAAAAAGAAAGTGGCACTTGGTTTAGACGCAAAAAAGCAAAGGCCTACCAAACAAAAGCCGTAAGCTTTGTTATCCAATTTCGTACTCTGGAGTACAAACTGTGCAGCTGCGCCGCATAGTACATGCCAGACACACAGTGCAGCCGACTGTTGTAGAAGGCACCCTCACCAACCTCTGGCAGAAATAACTCCTCACCCTCCGCGTCGACAATCCTCACCCACGGCTCCACCAAGTTCTTGCGATACCTCTGCTCCTCGTCGCCTTCAGAAGCATCCGCATCAGCGATATAACTCCCATCAAGTGACAAGTCGTAGTAGTGTGCTTGTGTCTCCGCCAAATCAGAAAGGAGATTGAGAAGCGACAATTCAGCGGCTTGGACACTGAGACCCCAAAACGGCGAGACACCAGTGGAACGGATATGCTGCAGCAAACGCCGGAGGCACAAGGTGCTCCCCACCGGCAGGTACATTCCCTCATACGGTTTCCGTGGCGGAAATGGACGGCCTTTGCGCAGAGCAAGACTAATCAGCACCCCGCTACACAAGGAGAGAGTATGCACGATCTCATTATTATTTTCCTCAGCTGATGATAAGACACTCTGCACCGTGTCAGCGCCAGGGTGTGCAGCATGTTTCTGTCGTGTCATGACACGTTTAAGGGCGATGTAGGTGAAAAGCTCCATCCTCGATTCGGACCTGGCGTAGATAAAGGGAAAGTGTGCATTGACAGTGAAAACAGGTCCCCGCCCTTTGGTCTTTGGCTTCATATGATGCCACTGAGCCCCCTTGTGTTCCTCCATCCACACCTCTGTCAGACCTTGTCCCCATACGTGCTCTGCGAAGTAGTGTGTGATACTCTTCAGATGCGCATTGCCTCGTTCCATCTCCTCGACAAAAATGAAGGTGAAACCATCGGGCTCACCAGACTTTAACGCGGCAGAGAGAAGCTGAAGAGCAATGGATGACTCCCGCACCCGGTGGGAACGCATTACTGAGGCTGCCAGCCGCGTCGAAATATCAGCAGGAACATTGTCGCGCCACTTTTCAGGTAGTACCTCCTTCGCAAACTGTTCCTCCAGCACTTCAGTCCGCGTTTGTGTGAAAAAGAAAAGAATCCCGTCCCACAATACACCAAGAAAGCGCTGCAAAAACGTCCATCGCGCATCATTTACAAAATCGTGAACATCACTTACAACCAAAAGAGGATTCAGCTCATGTTCCTCAAGGTATCGCTGCATTGCTGCGCGAAGTAGTCCCAGTTCCTGCAGAGATCTTTCGTCTCTGGTGCGCAAGCGCCAGTTCTTCTTGTACACCACGCCACGCCTCCAAGGGACCTCAATGGACGAAATTCTCTGCGCCAGTCGAACCAATCTGGCACTATAGGTGTCGCCTGTGTCACTATCAATGGGGCGAAATATGTGCGAACTGCCAGGGGCGTACCGTGGCGAGGCAAAAAGGCTTCCTTCACGTATGTCCTCTACAGTAATGCGCCCGCTTCGAAGAAATGAGACCATAAGTAGAAGCGGGTCTGCGCGGTGCGGTGATGGAGTGCTACCACCCAAGATGGCTACAATATCCGTATCGTACTTACAGAGCCGCGCTGCCTCGCGGAGGAGGAAAAAGGCCCACTGTACGCGGCACGGTGCCCTAGCATCTTTCTCATTACAAGGGTAGGCGCCAAAAAACTCCTCCGCGGCAATGCGCATGTACTGATCGTCTACTTCCGTGCCGCTACGAAAAGCCGCCTCGGCAAGGAGAACGAGACTCTCAGAAGACAAAAAACCAGATCGGGTAAGATCTGAGAACGGATCGTGGGGCTCGCTGTGCTGTAATTCGTTAGCGAATAAGGTTACGACCATCCAGTCTTTTCCACTTAGTGAGCCAAAATCCACAACGTCATTATGGTTAGCCTCACTGAAAAGCTGCTCTGCATCCACCGGAAGGTCAGCCAATGCAGCTTGGAATGCAGCCGAACCGAGTTCCAGTGCAAGGAATGCATATCTGGCGGCAGCTCCGTAGTTTAGGCCATTCAGCAAATGAACGTAGCTTAGAAGAACAAGCACATTCTGAACAGTGGTATAGGCTCTCTTTGAGCGCGCCACAAAACGAAAAGGCTGAGAGCCCTGCCTCTCTGCCTTGTACAAGACGCAAGGTCCCATCGGCACCCCGTTGCGGCGCAGGAGGCGCAACTCATCGAGGTGCTCTTCGCACCCATCCCCTTCACCGTCCTGGAAGAATTCTGCTTCATCATCCATAGCTGAGTGCACCACATCGCATGTGTAGCGCAATTTTCGAAGCACAACAAGGAGAAGACACTCAGCGCGGCGTAAATCGCGGGGACGTCCTTTGATACCTGCAATGTATAACTGTGCCTTCAAAAAACTTCTTAGCACTCCGGGGGAAACATCATCCTGCGGACCCATGCTTTCCTGATCACCCTCATTCACGCTCTCGATCTCAGTGCTGAGGGCACTGAGACGTCCACGTGTGATATAGGGTTCGTTGACAGCACTCCAACTGTGCTCCAAAGCAAAAAAGCGCTCAAACCGCAGCAGTTTTTCCACTGAAGGTGTCGTCCTATCAGAACCCTTCGACCCTGCGTTCCTAACCAACCTCCAAAAGTACATGTACTTTTCAGAAAGTGTCTCAGAAAGCAGCACCGACGTCACTTGACTCTGAGACGGCGACAAAATGCCGTGCTCCTTCATTGTGGCAAGCGCCGCTATAGCAGTCCTAGAGCCGGCGTGTGCAGCTGACCATATACGCAAGTGGGCACGCCGGGCACGGTACCACCAACCATCACTTATCTTCTTCGCTTCCGCTGATGCATCATCAAGAAGGTCCAACAGACCGGCAAAGAATATCATTTCCGAGCGAAGATCCGGTGATGGGCTACAGAGTTCCTCACACGTCGAGAATACCCCACGCTCGACATCATCATTGACCAACTGGTGGACGTAATCGAGGTAATCCGCACCTGTGTCGTCAAAATCTGTATCGTTCACGAGGATTCCATGGTAGAGGGCGTGCACCTGTACTACAGATACAGGAGATCCGGTGTGTGCTGACCAATCCTCAAGCGTCCAAACACCATCGCAGTAAGAAACACACCGAGAGTCGCACACCCTGTTATCCTCATTGTTCTTAGCGTTGTAAAGAAAAGAATCGAGAACGACAACGCACTCTCGTTTCTCAGCCGCTCTAAGGTATTCTATCCTTCGCTCCGTCCGCAACACATGCTGGTTTTGCAGTGTTTGTATAGCGCTACGAATATTCTTACAGAGTCGCGTGGAGCGCACCGTAGTGGATTCTCTAAGCTCCTCTTTTAACCCAGCATTAGTGGCAACAACACCAACAACATGCCCATGTTCTTCCCGTGCCGTTCGATTTCTTCGCAAATCCTCGAGTTGAGCCAACATACCCATTCGTTTTTTCCTTTCAAGAACTTCATCCAGTTGCTTCCGCTCCCACTGCCGCTGCGCATCAGCTATCTCCTTGTGATGGACACTACGTAGCTTCGCATGGTTCATCTCTAATTCCTTTGTGTACGTATAGACTCTATCCCTCTTCCCCAGACGCAACCGACGCAGCGCTTGTGCCACAATATCCACAAAAATATACGGACGGTTGTGGGAATCATACCGCAGAACGAAATCTCTTACAGAGACTCGAACAAAATTACCCCCCAAATGTAGCTTCAACTCAATCTGTCCCAGAGGTTCAACACTCGTGTCACCCTCACTGCTGCCAAGAGGCAACAGCACCTGCAGTGCGTCTAACCGCTGCTGACCGTACAGTTCGTCCAGAAATTCAAGACCAAAAACCTCGCGTAGCGTCTGCCAGGAGCGAGGGTGTGGGCACTGACCTCTTTTCATATCCATGAACAAAATGCTTTGAGCGAGTTCTTCGACATCCTTCTCCGATGCTAACTGCACGCGGAGTGGGAGTAGGAGTTTTGACAAGAGCTGCTCATTCGCGACGAGTCCTACGAATTTATCGTCGAGGTAACCGTGTGCGTTGTCACTGTCAACCGCATCTATTTCACCGTCGCAGACTATTATTGGTAGCATCACAGCAATGGTGACGAGCACCCTCAGCAGCATTTTTACAATTCCTAACCCCCCACTAAGAAGAAAAAAAAAAAAACACACCCTTCATCGCAACATAGTACGCAAAAACAAAAAAAAAAAGAAACGAGAAACAAGAAGAGGAGTCACCATTATAGCTCATTTATTGTCTCATACACAAGCAGAAAGAATGCTGCAATGACGTCTCACACACACACACACTCTCTCTCTCTCTGTATATGGCCGCGTGTAAGTGTATGCTCTTGGGAGTGCAGATAGTAATAACACAAAAAAAAAGACGGCTTGAAGAAAGAAAAGGCATGTGGAAGACAAACGAGATCCTCTACCTTACATTCCACAGAGTCACGACACAAACACGCACGCACACACACACACACACACACACAGACACATACACACACGAGGAGAACTTTCGATTTCCTTCCCCTATCACAATTCTATTTCAAGCGTCTATTCCATTTTGCTCAGAACATCATCGAGAATCTTCTTCATAGAGCGCTCTTGCTGTCGGCCCATCTTGTAGCGGCAGAGCGGGCAGCCATTTCCCTTCATGCACTCATACTCGTAGTGATCATCCTTGAAGAAGTGCTGGCACCCAGGACAGAGGATGATGCCAACACTGCGGTTCACCAATCGGTAGTATTTGTTCTGCACCGGCAGTGTTCCAAACCCTGCCTTCACAATAAACAATTCATCGCGACGCATCCGCCGGAGAGTCTCCGCATTCACAATGAAAGGGTGATATTCACCACTTGTTCGGCCGGGCCTTCTGACGTACGGAAGCTGCGCCTGGAAAGGATCGGTTCCTTTTGCAGGACCTCTTCCAAGGGCTGCCATTTGATGATCTATCATAACGTCAATGTTGTCCTCTTCCCCAGGGAACGTCATTACATCAGCCCCTGTTTCAGACTTCCAGGTGTCGTTGCCTTTGTCGGTTTTATCCTCGCCCTGTTCACCAGACTTCCGCCCAGCACCGGCCAAGATGATGCGCTCCGCTTCTGCGTCGCTGAGGTCATTCGACAGTGAGAACTCTACAAGCGGAAGGCTTTCAAACTGCACAAACGAGCGAACAAAGGGGTGAGCACAGCTGGGGCAGCGGTCACCTGCAATCGTCAGTTGCGGCACTGTCTGTCCGCAGCGGTAGCATACGTCCAGGAGCTCCTCCTTGTCAGTATAGACTTTGCTGCGTATTTGAAGACTATCAATGTCCACCTGCTCCATAATTTTTACTGGGAGTACAACACTCTGTAGGCGTTCAAACGCCACACGTGCAGTGCGCGTCATATCTAACTGCTTCGCAATACGGGCAAATGTGTACAAAACCTCACCTTTTCCCACATTTAGAGGTACATCCGAGCTGCTGATCATAGAAACTACGTACCTGGACAAGTTAAGTAACGCCAATTCATTGTACGGGAATGGCTGCGTCACGTGTGAGTAGATGAAATGATAGGCGTAGTAAATATTCGCCCGCCGAACACATTCAGCGCTAAGTTTGATACGACTTGCCCATTGCGCCTCTGTCAGCTGTTGCCCATCCTCCAACACACCGTACTCTCTCGCAAGGTGAATATAGTAAAACGCGACATCGCGGTATTTGCGGCAAATCACACTGTTAGCAGCAAGTGACTCCATCATGCGTACCGCCTCCTTGGGCCACTTCGCCAGACGATACGCTTCCAGTGCCTCTTCAAAGTGGCCACCATCTGCCAGCCAGTTGGCCCACGGGATGTACACGTCGCGTATATACTGTGGGTAGCGGTCGAGGAGCGAAAAGGCCTTCCGCCACTCCTCCACCTCCACGTGAAGGGCGATGAGAGAGCGAATATCGCCCACCTTTTCATACGCATCCAGTGCATATTGTGTGGCCCCGTTCTTCTTAAAGTAGTTGGCGCACTCTGTGATGAGGGCTACCTCTGATTTGGGTAATTCACGACACATCTCCAATAGCTTCTCAACCTGACCTGCGAAGCACATCATCTGGATCGCTTTGGCTGGGTCACCGCACGCCTGGTACAAGGAGGCTGCCTCAACATAATTCTGGGAGTCCTCAGCCCATCGCGCCTGCTGTCGAATTAATTCCTTCAAATGTAACTCATTACTGCATACCTTCTTTGCTTCTGGCCACATCTTCAAGTCACAGAACATATCGATAGCTCGGTTTTCATGTCCAGCCTTAACAAAGTATCGTGCAGCCTCTTGATATTTGCCTTGGAAGGCCAGGATATCCCCCATAAGAAGGCCATCACCTTCTGCACCCCCCTTCGAGCTACTCTGACGCCGTTCTAACTCCAGTCGGTTCAGCAGTTCCACGAATTTCACCTCACGAATCCGAATAAAGGCCCTCCGTGCGATATCTAACCGGAGATGGGTCATGGCATGCATACCAAGCATCTTCCAATCTCCCTCTGGGACACCAAGGCACGCAATACGGTAGGCAGAGTCAAAATCTTTTTTCTCCACATAACGGTATAAGGCGTGCGAGTGTGGCACATCCACCATATCAATGACAGTGGTATTCAAGTTATAGACACGGTTTGCCTTGAACCCTACAACGAAGCCTGACATTTTCTGCTGGTAAGGAGGGAGGGAACCGGTTTTGATATTCAAGGTGTTACCAGATGTGGTGTAGCTAATCATATCGTCGTATTCCGAGTTCCATGACACCGCCCCAGTGTTTGGAGTTGAAAAGAGCACCTCATTTTTGTTCCGAAGATCGAATACCTGCAGCAGGCCATTATCGTCAACAACGGCGAGTTTTGTGCGGGTACAACTGAGGTCAAGACAGCGAATAGAAGTATTGATCTTTACCAATGTGGTGGGGAAAGGATTGTCAACAAAGATGCGCAATCCTACACCATTCTTCAGTCCAAGCAGGAGACCCTCTCTCCCTTCAGCGCCACCAATCACCTTGATGTAGCGGACTGAGCTTTCAATCGCCCACTCACGACGTTTATTGCCTTGAAAGTCGTACATGGTCAACCGTCGATCATAGCAGATTAGGATTGCATTGAAGGTTACACAAAGAAGATTGCAATCTAATTTTTTTCGAATGTGTGCAATGTCCTGAAACCGCATCTGCCTCTCATCATCGTAAAATAGTTCAAAGATGACAAATCTATCATGAAGCTGAACTGCGAGTCGATCCCTGTACATGGCTAATTTTCGAACGTAGTCATTACAGGGAATACGCAGTTTCTTGTCGAGAGTTAACTGGTGTACAACAATCTCTGTCATCATATCACGGTACACATACTGGTCTAGGTAAATACTATGCACTGCTGGTATGGCAATCTCAATAACACTGATACTGCCATCATTTGTGCCACAGCAAACCTGTGGGTGCCTTGGGCGATGCTGCGCGGACCAAACCCAATCATCCGCTTCCGCCACCTTGACAAGCATGTTACCGTCCTTTGTGTAAAGCGTCACCTGATGGTCACTCCCACTAATCAGCAAAAATTCTCCATTCCCGTAATGGGATATGCTGCAAGGGTCACAGGGGAGCTCCTTCTCTTTGCCTATGGGTTTCCCTTGACTACAGTAGAAGGAGATTCGACGATCCCAGGAACCTACGACGAGAGTATCTGTACCATTCTCCGTCAAGGGCGAAAAGGCCAACGTCCACACAGGTGCATTCCGCTGTATCAACACCTTCTCCCCAGTGGCTGGCGACACCAAAACGATGGTACCATCAAAAAGCCCCATGGCTAGCGTCCGCCCATCACGAGTCCATGAAGCACAAAGTCCTCTGGACGGTAGCGAGTTCTTTCCCACTTTAGCCTGATCCGGAGACCAGATGCCATAGTCTGTGGAAGCCACTGAAGCAAGCTGTCCTGTCGATGGGTTGTATGCCAACGCCTGCACGGATTCCCTGTGCTGGTACTTGAGTACACCCTCGCCCTTGTTGGTCCAGACAATGACGGTTTTGTCAGCACCACCACTCGCAAAATTTTTACCATCATATGAGTAGCTGACAGAGTACACAGTGTCCGTGTGCCCTTTGAGAGAGTGCACAACAGAACCCGTTGTTGCGTCATACATCAGCACCCGAACACCGCAAGAGGCCACGATGGTGTCCCCAGCTGGACTGTAGCAAACGCTGTAGATTGGGGGCCTAGGCTCATTCTTTCCGGCTGACGTCTCTGACCACTTCACTGTGGTGCGCATTGTCAGAGTAAAAACGGACCTTTAGCTATGCTTTCCCTTCAGTTGAATAAACTCTCTCTATATATAAATATATAAATATATATTTATACACTGCTTTTTGCTACCTCTAGGCACCAATAGCAATAACAAAAAGAATTTTTTAAAAACAAGATAATCCAGTACCGTAAATCAATATCAGCACGAGGAGACCAAACTCCCAAAACAAATCTACGTAAGAGGAGATTGTCTCGTAAGAAAAAAAAACAGAAAAGAAAAAATACGTTTCAATCAGCTACTGAGCAGCGACCACAGCGGCAGGGGCGGCGGCACCCTCTCCATCGGCAGCAGCACCAGCGCGGTAGTTGTCGCGCTCGCTGCGGAAGCCACGGCCACGGCCACGGCCCTCACCGCGACCACGGCCATAGCC